CAAAGACGGCAAAAATATGCAGATTGAGTGTGAATGCATAAATGTCCCAATCCCAATGTCATTTGATGATTTTTTCATTTTTGATTTTTGATCAATTTACAAATTTATCTAAAAATTTGTTTTTTTTGCTTCAACATTATATGCTCTTTTGTTGATTCAAATAATTGCATGCTCTTTTTGTTCTATTAATCTGTATTTCATAGATAATATTTTAAATCAGTTAATTCCATTCGTGAATAGCATTTTGCATTACTTGCAATTAATCACGTGCATTAGGCGCGCATGCTTTTTATATTAACTTTATCTACTGCATGCTTTTCATACTAACTTTATCTACTGCATGCTTTTCTAAATAATTCCACTTGTTGCATGTTTTTTCATTAATTTTATTTATTCGGTGCATGCATTTTTTAATTTTATCCACAAATTCTTTCAATTAGTTAGTAATCTTTTTGTTCCCTTTATTTACTGCATGCTTTTTATTTTCTCTGCTAATTTTAGATTATGCGAACTACTTATTTGTAGTTTAAAATTTCTGCAATTATTTTTCTAAAAGAAATCTTCCTGGGATTTTAAATGAATGCTGAATTTTCGTGAAATATTTTTTTATCTTTGAGCTGCTCATCAAATCAATCGAAGCCAATTAATCAATTGAAATAAAAAGTGTCAGCATATATGGATGACTAAAAGTAACAAAACTGATAAACTTCTTGTCTTTACTTTTTTCTCGAGCAACAGTATTTCCTAATAGCAGTAAAAAAAGATAAAAAATTCCATTAAAATCTTAATTCAAATCATATGACAGGTGTAATAGCATTCTGTTTAATTCATCTATTAATTAATACTCCATCCCTCATATATCCTGATATCATAGCTGATTTTGGGATACGGTATCTTAGTGAATGAGATAAGTTGTCGATAGCTTTTATTGATTAAGGGAAGATAGCAATAATTCAGAATTAGAATGATCACAAAAATATCATTAAATTAAATAGCATTTCTGTGAGTTTTTGTACATTTTTGCATAAAAATTGACTGTTCATTTAATAAATGGCATACATTTTACTTAATATAATATTTAAATTTGAAAAAAAAAGTTTTCGAATGAATCTTTAAAGTGAAAAAGAAAAATGAATCTTTAAAGTGAAAAAGAAAAATGAATCTTTAAAGTGAAAAAGAAAAATGAATAGGAATGATTGAATGAAGCCAACAAGTACAAGAATTGTTGTGGACAGTTATGATATTATGTTACGGTAGTACAAGAATGCGGGAGGATATAAGGCAGACCGAGATAAGATATATATCAAATATTTCCGATACAAGTGTCAAAATATTTATGAAACTTAATAATTTCAGATTTCACCTGGACTAAACCTCAGGTTTTACCTGAACTAAATCTAATTTCAGATTTGCCTACGTCAAGTCTAATTTCATATTTTACCTGGACTAATAGTTCGACAATAGTTTTTTTCAGCAGAATATCTTTTCTTATTTATTACTGAGATGGTAAAGAAAATAAAAGTTTATTTTTCATGTTCGAAACAACTACACCCTAGTTTGATTGTTTTTTTTAAGCAAATTTATCGATTTTTAAGTAATTTATAAATTTAGCAAAATTTTTTTATCTGTAACTTTCATGCTATTCTCATCAAATTCCTTTTTCTATTATAATAATGGAAGAATTTCAAACTGTTCTGTGGAAAAACATGGAAAAATGAATACTGTAGAAATGATGTAATGTTATAAAGGTATAAAATATTGAACTAAACGAAAAAATTTTGACGAAATACATATACATATTATACATGAATTATGTATTTATGTTATATAAGAATATTTTTTTATGACATGCCATAGGGAGAGAAAGAGAGAGAGGGAGAGAGAGGAAAGAAGAAATTTTCGAAATGAAAAAAGGAAAACTTTTAAAGAAGATGACAATTAGCGAAAAAACAATTAGCAAAAAATCATACCGGTAATAATAAAACAGCTTAAACCGATATGTTTAACAAATAAAATGATTAAAAGATAGATATATTGCTTCTTTTTTTATTTTTTCCAGTTTTTTGAATATAAAAAAGCATAAACAGTATGTAATAAATAAATAGAAATAGAATAAAAAGAAAATATCTATCCATACAAACAAAACTAAACTAATAATAAATTGCAAAACATCTAAGTCGAAAATTAATGGATAATAATTATATTCTATTTTATGATATTTGCAAAACTTTTTTTAAAGGAAAAAGTAATTTTTAACCAATAAAAGCATTACGAAAATATATCAATTAATTCTTATTGATTTTGCATATATACATGGAAATTGGGAAATTTTGCATAAGTTAGGAAAGTTTATAACATTTAAAAAGTTGAACGATTCTCATGAATGCAATTGTTTGCACAGTTTCATTTTGTGCGAATGTGTGCTGATATGTCGTCTGAGATTATTCCAGAAGCTGGAGAAGGCAATCAAAGGGAGGATCAGAATGTCGAATTTCTTGAAGTATCACTATTTCTTATCCGTTTCATATCAATTATTTATTATGACTGATCTAAAAAAATGCCAAAAGAAATGCGAACATTTTGCATTACTTTCGTTTATCATTTTATCAGCTTTGCATCATATACGATTTTTACACTTATCATTATCACTTCAAATATTGTTTCTGTTGAAGTAAAATGTTGATGTGGCGATAGGAATAAACCCCTAACATAAATAGTAGTCCTTCTAGGTTGTACAGCTTGATATAGTAATGCATTTAAAACACTTCAAAATAAGTCTATGCTAAATTTATGATAGTATTGTTAATAATTTGATTTTTTTCAAAATTTTACTTCAATTTCAAAACAATGAATTTTCCATTGTCACTTCAAAGTTTTCAATTTTACATTGTCATTTCAAAAATTTCAAATATGAATTTTACATTATTATTTCAAAATTTTAGGTTGATCAGAATGTTAAAGAACTTGATTTGACGCGACATCGAATTAAAAAAATTGAAGGATTTGACTTCTTGCATTCCATCGAATATTTATGCTTACGTTGGAATTTAATCAAAAAAATTGAAAATTTACATATGCTTATTACACTCACTGAACTTGATCTTTACGATAATCAGGTTTCAAATAATTTATTGAAATTCTTCATTTAATAAAAAGGGGAAATATCAATAAATAATAAAAGTAAATTTTGGATCACTAAAATTGAAAATCTGGATGAACTGGTTAATTTGGAATCGCTGGATTTGTCATTCAATCGTATCACAGTACTGGAAAATCTGTCATCGTTGAAAAAACTCAAAAATGCTTATTTTGTCCACAACAAAATTCAAAAGATTGAAGGACTTGAAGAGGTAACCTCTTGAAAATGTTTTTTTTTTATCACAACTATACTGCAATTTAGTATTCCAATTCCAATTCACTTAATGTTCCAATTCTAGTTCGAAATATTCCATTTTTTTTTTTTTTGTAGTAGAGTAATCACCTGAAGAAACAAATAATCTGCCACTAATAAATTTATCAAAATAAATTTGCAGACTACTCATTGAAACAACTTTTTTTTTAGCTCACTGAATTGGAATACTTGGAGCTTGGTGATAATCGAATTAAAAAAATCGAAAATCTTTCACAAAATTTCAAAATTAAACGACTATTTCTGGGTGCTAATCAAATTGTTGACATTGAAAATTTAGAAATGTTAAAAAATATTGAAGTGCTCAGTCTTCCCGCTAATGCTATCCAAGAAATTAAGGTTAAAATTAAGTTTTAATTAACATTTTTTCAAATATTATCACTAGATCTCACTAATGTTTAAGGCTTTGAAATTTAAAATCATTTCGAATTTTAAATTTTACTTTGCGCATAATTTTGATATATTCCAAAACTAAAATATATTTCTGTGAGAACAAAAACAACCAGTAACGATTAATAATACTACGATCGTTAATGATATGTAGAAATTACATTAAGAAAATTAAAACAGAAAAGTTTAAATCGAATTGTTATAACTGTTTCGGTTACAAACTTGAATTTTTTATTTATTGTTATCACTATTCCGGTTACATTTCCTACAGTAACTCTTGCACTGTATTGCAATAATTTGGAACAATTTGCAATACAGTGCAAGAGTTACTGCAGGAAATTTCATTCCTTCGTCCATTAATCCGTATGCAGTGTATCAGTAACGGATATGCAACATTTTTCTTAATTACGGTAATTGCCTTATTATATACTTGGGTTATCATTAAATAATTTATTGAAAATTAAATTTTCAATTTGAGTTTTCGTTTTTTTTTGTCTTAGGGTTTGGATAAGTTAACAACACTTAGAGAGTTGTATCTATCACAAAATGGTATTGAATATATCGTGGGTCTGGAAAGTAATACAAATTTGGAAATTCTTGATTTGAATTATAATCGTCTTCGTTCCATTTCAAATATTCATCATCTTCAAAAACTTACTGATTTTTGGGCTAAAAAAAATCAGGTTTGCTCATTTTTTTATAAAATTATTATTTTCAATGAACGATTAATTATTTAAATTGGGACTAAAATTAGATCTGTAATTCATAATTAAATTATTTTATAAAATATGCAAAGTATTTCATTCGAAATTTATGCAAAAGTATTTTAGCAACAATGAAATTCTCTTATTTAGTATTTAATTTAGTTGAACAAAATAACGGATTTGGATGAATTAGCTCAATTACCAAATTTAAAATTGGTTTATTTGGAGATGAATCCATTTTCGGAATGTACCAACTATCGAGGCAAAGTGATTCGTATGTTACCACAAATTGAAAAACTTGACGCAACTTATTGTCGCTTGGGTGAATTTTTCTTTTAAAATCATTTTTTTAACATTTCTAAATTTCGATGACATTTCTCTCTTTTTTTTGATAATATTTTTTGAATTTTCAGGGACGAATTCATAACTGTTAAAATAACTGTAATGATTAAAGAAATTTAGTGATTTCAATTCAAAATATTTTATTTCTTATCATTTATATACTTGTCGATTGTAAATAAATAATCTGTTTGCTGAGAATTTATGTATAATTTCAAAAGTGAAAATGAATGTTTGAAAATTTTACACAATCTCATCATTTCTACAATCTTTTTATGACAATACAAATAAGCCAAACTTTGGTGGCAATAAACCTATCGCTTAATTTTAGATACCTTTTAGTTAGTTAGCTTATTTACCATATTTAATCTTAAATATCAGTACATATATATAATCTTCTAAACAACATGGTACAATTAATTTTTTGAAATAAAATTATTGAAATTTTATTCTGGATATAGAAAGAGGATATTTGAATTCATCGCAATTAAATTGTTAGCTAAAATTTAAGCCATTTAATTTTCACATTTCACACCAAGCATTTTCTGCTCGAATCTAAAAGATTTTTTTGTTAAAATTATTCTAAAATATTTCAATGTTTTTTTCTTTGTTTCTTTTATTTTTTCATTAATTATTCTTCTCCTCAGATAAAAGGGAGGTGTTAATGATAGAATTGATATACTGATAAGGAGACTATCAGATCTTAACTGCCCTTAGAATTTCATAAAATTTAATTAAAATTTGGAGAAAATTTGATAAGCATTTTATAGATATTTCAAATTAATGAAATAGCTGCCTTACACGAGCTTCCTCTTCAGGTGTAAAATCGTTTTCAATATTGAAGAAAACTCGTAACTCCTCTACAGTCTTCCCTTTGATATGATTTGCGATTGTTTTACAGCCACAAGAAAGCAAATCGCTAACATCCAAATAATTAGCTGCCTTAAGCAATACACTGATAATTTTGTGAATTATCATTTGAATTTTTGAAAAACATCAAATTATCATCAAAGGATATCCCCTAATATTTGGGACTTATTGACCTGAACAAGTTCAAAAAGTTCCTTATTGTCAGGTAAAGTAAGAAAATTTTGTCGCCAAGTTTTTTCTTCATCTGATTTTTCAGCATCGGCAGTGAGATGTGCTTGATGTGTACACCATTCCAGAACCTTCAAAATTTTAAATTCACCAGAAATTTTTAAAATCTTATTTAACCGAATAGAAGCATTTGATTAACCTTTTGTGATATATTCCTTCTCTAGATTTCCCAAGGCAGGAATTCAATCCAAAATATTTCTCAGGGAAACACGAGGAGAGAAAAGAAAACTTGTAAATTTGTTGTTATGAAATTTTGAAATTAATATTTAAAGCGAATTTAGTATGTTTTAAACTGAAAGCGAAAGAACCCTAAAAAAAACGAAAAAATCCGGAAGAACGAAATAGGTTTATTGATTACTGAAACGAATAAATGTCAGTAAAATATGTTTGTTAAAGGTGAGAGTATGTGTAGTAGAAAAATTCTATAAAATGTTAAATTAGAATTTCTTCGTTTTTCCGTAACTTGATGATGAACTCTATTTCCGGAAAATCTTTTAGCTAAGTTGTCTCTGTATGCCATTTCGTCGTTTCCGGTATTTTCTGGGATAACAAACACTTTAGCACTCTTTAAATTACCGTATATCATACGATTTGTGCAATATTCATAAGTGTAGAATGGTTTTATTTGTCACCATTTATCCTTTAATGGCCCATAAAAACATCACCATCTGACTTTGTCAAGTAGTAGAAAATTGGTGGGTGAGATTGAATAATATACGTATTGAATAATATATGTATTCTAACATTTTATGAAATTTCTTACAATTAGTCTCTACTAATTAATAAGTAATTGTAATTGCTACTAATTGCTAATTTATCATAATTATGAATTCGTTTGCCTCTAATTTTGTTATCAATTGATTACAATTATGAATTTAATACTTCTTTTAGCAAAAACAACGTGAGCGACATTGTTTTTTATTTTTAAGTTTGAACATCCATTGTTACTATTAGCAGTCTTAGTATTTCTTGTAGCTGCTTTATAGAATGTTAAATGAATAATGATTTCAATGGTTTATAATAAGCTTGGAAAGTGCTGAGTATAATCTTGGAAAATTAGAGAAGTGAGAAAAGAAAAAAAACCTTTTTAATAGTTTTAGCTGGCAACTCTACAGGTAAATCAAAAGCTGGCTGTGATTCATCAACTTGATCGATCAATAAATCTAAATTATAATACTTCTAGGGAATGGGAAAAATTTATTATTCCAGGTTTCTTTCGTTTTTTTTTCAAAACTTTTATAAAAAATCTAAATGAAATAATTCATTGTAATATAAAATAAGCGGTATCTTTAGACTTTATCGTTTCACAATAAGTAATTAGTTAGATCTTCGATCTAAAGTTAATAGTCAAAAATATCTTTCAAAGTTAAAAATTGGAATATTTTATTGCTTGGAATTTGCAAAATGCAATGATGGGAAGCAATTTCACACCTGTTAACATATTTCTGATAGTTTTTGATTGTGATATAACATCCATATCAACTGTTATCTTTTCTCCATCTAGTGATAATAGATTGATACTTCGTTTATCACATTGTGTTATGTCAGTTTCAGACTGAAAGTTTTGTTAAAAGTTGATATAAGCGCTTCCACTCTTTTTCAATTATCCAACTTTTAATAAAATATTTGTAACTGTAAACTATAAAAGAATGTTTTATTGTTAGATAAATTATTTTAAATTTTTGAAAATATCGGATAAATTTAAAATTTTTGCAAACATTCAAACTAATATTATGACTTAATTGTGCTATTGTTTAAAAAGTTTACCGTCATTGCCGAAAAATGCGTCGTCTAAACGACCGTATGGTACAATTTAATTGTTATATAATTATTGTAATAACAAGCAATTGAGCTTTATCTGCTGCTAAAAAAAATGCAAATAACGCCAATTATTATTAGATCAAATAATTTACATTTATAATATAATGTAAACGATAATGAATTAACGTATCTTAATTGCACATGTTTTTTATTTGCTTAGTAAAATACACGGTAAATAACAGATTTTTATTTTCAAGGATTACAAATTAGTGTCCATAAGATAGTTAAACATTTTCTCCAAATTATTGCGATTAAGTTTATTTTTATCACTATCTTTCTTTATCAAATGATATCACTTATAGCGTTTTTTTCCCGCATATCAATAATGGTCGTTTGTGATGCCTTAAGGCCTTCTGGTGTTCCCGGATTATGAATGCCTTTCTCGTGGTACCAAATGAAATCACTCACTTTACCAGGTTGTACAGTAAGTGGTAATGATTGCTTTCGAATGAGAAATGATTTCTGTGACCGCTTTTGATATTGAATTTCTGGTGAGATGGAACGCGATTTGTATAATCGAAACTAAAATGTTTATGAATTATTTCAGCAAAATATCAGCTGATTAACAGATGACTTGTATATTCTGTCAGGACAGGTAAATCAAAATTCATTATTTGTTTTTCTTAATGTGCAACATTCTGACAAACAATGTCACAAGTAAAACTATAAAATTCTTTCACGTGATCAATGAATGACATGAAAAACTTTTGTCAGATTTGATGATTTTTGAAAATTTACGGATATTTCAAATAATTCTGACAACATAATGGTTTGTATAAAGAAATGATTTTCACTGACAACTAATTCGGACGAGTCAATATGAGGAGCTATGTTAACCGACAATAAACATCTCTATTCGTCGAAAGTTTCTGTGTCATATGTCATAGATTATCAGATGAAAATTATTGCTAACCAACGCTAACAATCGACCACTGAAGTGATGAAAAATGCAAAATACGATGTATTCTCAAATGTGCAATGTTGATTAAATGGTTGAGAAGATAGATGATCTATTTTAGTTGTTGGTTTACTTGAAAACCATCAGAAAATAATTATTTTAGGATCGTCTGTTAGAATTCCAAGAATAATTGTGATGTCGATTATGCTGATGCATATTGTTGCAGAAAAGTCATGAATATTGGTTAATTGATGTGTATAACAACTGCGACAATTTTCGTATTACGAGATTAGGGATTGGAGAAAGATAAAGAGACAAGGATGGAGAAGAGATGAATTGTTGCAATAATTTCCATCAGATAAATTATAGCAGTTGTGAAAAAACTTACGTCTATCGTCTGTCGAAATGTGGCAGTGACAACAGAATAATAAGAATTTTTATTTTTTTACTTTCTTTTGTCTGACAAAATGAAAACAAAAGTCCTTATAAAAACAAAAGTCCTCATAAACAGTAAGCTCAACTGACATCATGTTTAGCTGTGGAAACATCCAATATCATCGATCGATCATCTTGTGACATTGTCGCTTCTCTCATCTCTGGAACACTGAAAGATTTGCTCAAAACTTTGGATTACGGTTAAAAAAAAAGAAAATTATGAAGACTCCCGCAAGCTTAAATTATAGAGAATATTGATCTAAGAAATGAGGCATGATGCGGTAAACGGAACAAAGAACTGAAAAAACCTTGTAGGTGACAGCATTTCTTCTTCATTGACCTGGCTTGTTGGCTCTTTTTTCCTCTTACTTGATGGTTCCCGATAGTGTGCATGCCTTTTATCAGGATTTTCGATACGATATTTTGAGCTGAAGTTGGCTATGCAAATAACAATGCTTTATGGCAAATTGCCTTCCTCATTTCTCTTCTATTTCGCTAACCTATGGAAAGGATTTATTTGCTTATTTATATATTACTTATTTACTTGGTTATGTAATTTCCTAATTTATCAGAATACTCACACACTTTTTGTCATTCACTTATTGATTTACTTAATTAATGTAAAGAAACGAAATGATCTGGACAGTATTAGAATGATGCAAAACTCTTCAAATCTTCTTTTAGGTTGGTGACTTTGGAAGTGAACTATTTGCATACCTATTACTTTCATGTTCCACTTTCTTCAATGGTCTCGCCATACAAATATGCAAACTTTCAGTTCGGTTTGTTCGAATTTGATCCAATCGTCGAGCTATTTTTAAGTATGAATCATCGGTTTGAATTATGAGATCCTATAATTGGATGTGAGAGAAACAGGATATTATTCAACAAATGCGGTGATGTTAACGATTAAATTTGTTGTGATAATATTCAACAATTGATTTTAATGAGTTTGGAATTATCAAGGAATATCAAACTGTTAAAAGAACATAATTATAGACTTAAATTTAAATACTACGGCAATATTGAAACAAATACCTGTTTCCTTGACCTTACCCACTTCGGCACAGATTCGCTTAAATCATTCATTCTTCCACAAAACGGTGTTTTTGACGCATTAAATTCTTTCTCAACCAAATTATCGGGATTAAAATTATTCATATCAAGCATCGTTTGGACATACGTATCGCACATATCTTTGGTATCGAATGAACATTGCGTACTGCAATTAATGAAGAAAAGCAATTAAAAATGAAAAGCATAAAAATGAAGAAAAGTAATTGATTTTCAGCAACATGTCATAACTTAAATGAAATAGGATGATCCGATCATCATAAGTACCATGAAGAACAGAAGATACATTACATTGATAAGCACGTAGTTGTTACAATCATACTTAGTGAAACCCTCAGAAATCAATTTATATATATATATATATATATATATATATTTGCTTATCTATTTGATGAGCAATAAATACTGATAACGACCTGTTTTCGACCAAAATTGAATGTCTGAAACCAATCTTCCTCATCATATTTTTTCTTCTCGCTGATAACTCGGATGTTCGACGATCCTTAATTTCGATATACAGTGATTTTCAACAAGTATCAAGTTCATGGCATAAAATTAATTTTCAATCCTGGTTCAAAATTTTCAAATTTTACGCTAGAACCTTACTTCATCGTCATCATCAAACGCTGTCTGTACAGCCCGACTGCATTCGGGTGCCTGTATCTGCGGCATCCATGCATCTGTTTCCATGGATCGATGAAATACTTGACTGGCTCCTTCCTCTGTCACCGCACCTTGTTCCACCATTTCCGGGAAAAATGTTTCGGTTTCTGTTGAAACATCCTATAGAAAAGTAACAATTTTAGCTTGAAGGTTTTTTTTACCTCAGATTTCTGATATTTTCAAAAACGCTTCAATAACTTACAAACTGTACAGCTGTCCTGTTATGTTCAGTGCCCTTAATTAATTGATTCGAATTTTCATTATCAATATCTCCCTTTTGTGTCATTTTAATATTAACAGAAACATCATCTAAAGACGTTTCCATGCTGCGATCCATTAATTTCGGACGACTTCTGGCCTAAAATATTCAAAAATCATAATTCCTAAAAATCAATAGTTCAAAAGTTTTTTTCAAAGTCACAACGACAGTTGAGAATCCCCACAAATTTAAAAATCAAATCGAACAATTGCACATGAAAGTGATGTCCTACTTGTAAGTCATGTAATTTAAGCATAATTTCATCTACTTGAAATTGTGCAATATCTGTTTGTACAGCGCAACCATTCAGAACACAGAGTTCGATCTGCTGTTCCTCATCAACCAATGATACCCGTGCCTGAATACTACGATCAACGCCTTCTGAGCTGAAATTTTATCGAAAATGTTTAATTTTATCAAATTCTCTTGCAAGAAAAAGAATTTCGACAATCAAGATCTATTGGTGACATAAATTATGCAATTTTAAGAAAAAATAATAATAAACAATCAATTTATTTATTGTAGATGAGTTTTGAAATTACTTTGTGAGATCCATTGGAAGTGATGTGACTTCAGATACTGAATTCGCATCACCGTCAGCGTTTGGTAGGGAAGTTAGCACATTTGAGGTAAGCGCTGAAGACATTATCGAATCCTTCATTCTGTAAAGCGCACTACGCAAGAAGTCTAAGCATTAATGCTTATCAGTCGAAAAACTTGGTTAATAAAGCGCAGATCGATGATTCTAGTAAATTCAGATATTTTCAAAAATTACAGAGTTCTTTGCGGTATTCTTAATTTCAACGTTTCGCAGTTGGAAGCAGTACAGTACCCGCAAAACCAGAAAAGTGAGCATTTTTGGAGTCAAGAAAAATTGTAGGAATTGAGTTAAAAGCAAGTTTTTTGGAAGCAAAATTTAAAATCGTCTTGTAATTGTTTTAATTAGATACACTAATAAAAGATTACCCAACATCCCCAGTATTTTTCATCCGCTGAGGATTTACTTCTTTCTTTTGCAAGTAAACTTCTGTTGCAGGACTAATAGTTGTACCCATATCCTGAAACAATTTCATTATCATTGTCTGTGATATTTAATTGGAATAATGGAATAAATCAAAAGATAATAGACAATAATTCAAAACTGATATAATAGGACAAACTTGAAACTTCACAGTCGACTCAAACAACGAGGATTTTTTGAAAAATTCATCTTCAGTTTGAATATTTTTATTATTTAACGTTCTTACTGATCGTTCGTAAGTTTCAGCCTGTAATTGTAGCTTATTACTATTGAGTAATTAGTTAGGTTATTGGATGCTTAGAATTTCATCATGAAATTCTCACCCTACTATTTGTTAAAAGATGCGTTTGTTGTCGAATGAAATTTCCAAGATTTTATTGCAAATCTTTAGTTTCAATTCAACAATATTATCATGTTATCTTTCTAAGTTTGCGCATGTTTTATTAAAATTTATTCAATTAGTTTAAAACTGAACTACAAGTTCGAAAAAAAATTCCATGCTTATGTCACATCTTTTTTTCATCAAGTAATTTCTAATTTTTGAAAATTAAAAGGGAAATTAACACCTGTTTGTCAAGCTCAGCAGTTTGTTTCTCACTAAGCAAATGCGGTGCCACATTCCGGAGATACCATGGTTCATTTGCCAGCAAGCGCTGTAGGATTTCATTGCGCTTCACCGGATCTCCGCATGCTAAAGCACGCTGATACTCCTTCTGGAAAGTGCCAATCTTAGTTGCAAACGAAGTAATTTTTTAAACTATTCCATAAAATATTGAATATAAAGTTTATGTTTTTAAAATCATAACTATAACGTTTTAAATTTTAACTGTGAAACTTCGAAATTTTAACTATAAAACCTTATCATTCTGGACGAAGAAATGAAGAGTTTAGATGGTAAAAAACGAGTGTCGTTTGATGCTGCAGTGATAAGGATGTGTTTTTTTTTAATCAATGAAATATTTTAATAAATTATTATTATTATTACCTGCATTCGAATCATCAAATGATAGAGCCATTCTTCAAATTTAATTTGTATTACACCGAGAAGCATTGAAACAATCGAAAGGCCAATAATTACCAACCAAAACATCAATATCAACATGTGCGGATGATCTGGCACTACATCACCTGACGCACGCAGTATTATGAATCATTTTAATTTTTATCAAACTTTACGAATGACTGAAGTATACATAGTAAAAAATAAGGTTATTAAAAAGTGTGGAAAACAAGATGAGCAATGAGGAAATCATTAATTGTTGTGGGAAATGATCTAACCGAGGCCAATGGTTGACAGTGAAATGAAGAAAAAATAAAGAGAAGTGAAATAGGACCAGCGTGTTTCCCAGAGACAAAATAGACCTGCACAAATACATATCCAACCAATGCAAATAAATAATGCAAGCCAAACTGGTATTGTCCTGAAATGAGCGAACTAGCGAAAGGTATGGCGAGTAGGGTGAGAGACAAGAATTGATATAGAAAATAGGTCTAACTAATACCAATGGTAACCGATAATTTAATCAAAACAGATTGAATGAGATCATCGAAAAATCTTCAATTTTACTTATAGTAATACTACTAAATTGAACAAGATTTCCATAGTTAATTTTTTATAATTTCAGCAAAAGTCAAATCAAAACCTTCGTACAAAAGTATTTGAGGATTTCCATTGCATAATAATTAATTCTGAAGTAATGTGAAGTATCATGCTACTCAAACCTGCTCTCAACTTCCTCATCTACTGCTTCGATTGTTTCTGAGGGTGGATTATTTAGTAGTCGGTGATTCGACTCCACATTGCCTTCCTCAACATCCAACATTCCTCTGTGAAAATTCTTCGATCAATACTTTTTAAAATCATTACAATAAGTTTATTCGAAACATAATTTTATTACTAATTAGCCAGAAGGATACCATGCTAGCCTACTAATTATGAAATCAAAATTTCAGGCATAAGCTTAGACTTAGCAGAAAATTAAAGTTGTCTTTGTGCTATATCTAAAGCACTTACCGTATATACTTCAACCTTTTAGCTCGCAATTTTTGTCGTTGTATCGCTATTGCAATGCGTTGCTCTCTTGTATAACCTTTGATACATTCTCGGTACCTAATAAATGAGATTTCTCGGTAAGCAAGTGTTACTTCTTCGGTTTATACCAAAGCTCTATTCAGTATAATTGAATCAGAACGTTATTCAATGAAAATTGAGCAATTTAATATCAATTAGCTCCCGCAAATTTTACCTTGAAATTACTTTAAAATGAAATTTCTTAAAGAATTTTTCATTAATTATCCCCATGCAATTCAATCTAATTTCACAATCAGCAAAAAAAACTTTTGCTTCTGAAATTGCCGATCCCTTTGTTGCAAAACAAACGGCAAATGACAAGTGTCTTGCAAGTTAGAAACTTTCTGTAAAGTCTTCGAAATTTTCATTTAGAAATCATTTCCTCTTTTCTTTTTTATTACCTCATCATAAAATTTAATTATAAAAGAATTATAACCTTGCAGTAAAAAAAAAAGCAAATGATTTCCGGATGGATGAAAATCTTTTTCAACCGTAAATTGTTCTGTTAAAAACCTAGTTGATTATAGTAGTTTATATGAATTTGTAAGAAACAAACTTGTAAAATCAAAATTTAAATCGGTTGCTCAATTAGCAAAAGCAGGAAAACAAAAGTAGCTAGTTTTTAAAATCATATTTTACTTCTTCCTAAATGTGATGTTAATATCATAAAAATATCAAATAACTATCTCATCTTTCCTTTTTAACATGTCATTTAGATAAATATTCTATTCCTGCTTCTAAATTGATATTAACTGTCATTTGCACTTTTTAGAGAATGTTGGATGAAACATTTATGATTTTTGTCCTAGCAAAGGATTTCTAAGATAAAACGAAGTGAAATCCCTTGTAGACCAGGTTAACATTAGTGAATGTAAAAATTAATCAAATGTTTAATTAATGATTATATCAAACATTTTGAGCGATATTACCTCATCCAAATATTGCTTACAAAAGTGGTGAGCGTTTTACCAAATTGACTTAGTATAGCCAATACAAGAGGTATACCAAAAATTGCATAAACAATACTTAATGCTTTACCGCCTGATGTTCGTGGAGCTATATTACCGTAACCTGGAATGTGGAAAGTAATGAAGCCCATATGAATCATTTTAGAAGAGTTGAATGAATTACTAATTACTGATACAGTAATGTTCGACTAACCGATAGTGGTAAAAATAGTGCCAACATAGAAGAGAGCTCCCCACATATCCCATTCTAAGCCTTCAGGCATTTTTAATTTTGTTAATTGACTTTCATACCACAATAATATTTTTCTGAAGAAAAAAAGAAAAATGTTTATTATAATGTAAGTTTTCATTGCATCGGTATAAAAATGATTTATGATCCTATGACATGATAGTATTATGCTCTCACAGCAGTTTGTTTTATTTTGGATTTCAGTTCCATGCAACAAAGTAATACTTTATATTATTTAAACATCACAAAAAATTTCAATAACTTCAAGAAGAGGGTATAAAAAATATTGAAAGAATAAAGTTAAATCAGTAAAAATGAAACTGATTACTTCGAATTAACCAGATTTGCATATGCATTCGAATTTTTGTTCCGGAAAACTCGTCTTAACTGTTGAAATGTATGATTCCTCAAGCCATCCAGTATAATTTTTTCTTTTCTGCAAGTTCAAGATTTCGAATATTGTTGAATTTTTGCAAGACTAACATTTAGTGTTACAATAATTAATAATATTTAAGTCATATTTCCTTTTTTCTAAAAGCATTCATACAAAACTCATGCGCTTTTTAACATTTAATTGATGTTTCAAAATAATTTCACATTGAGAAGTCTTTTCTTATCACTAAAATAATTGAAAATTACCACTCAAAAATAAGCCTAAAAATTGTTTGAAAAGTTATAAAAATTATTGGTCATCCAAAAAACGAACCTGATAAGTTCCTGTTCATGCGCCTGTTCCACCCAACAGAACAATGTTGCACCCAATAATGAATATATTACCAATAAAAAAAATGGTGCTACATGTCGTAATTTATATTTGTCGTAATAAAATTTCGCCTGAAAATGTTTTTTTCTTTTTGACAGAAATATGGTAGTATACGGAAAGTCGAAAAAAAGATACTTCCTTCTCTTTGATACCAAATAATCCGCTGACTCAAAAATACGTATATAAGTGTAGTTTTATGAAGCATAAAATGTTTCTTATAATGACAAAATGCAACAAAAATTATTTTTGAATGTCTTTATTGATAAAAAAAACCCCTGAAAAGAACTTCTTCAATTTCAATCAAATTTAGAGCTAATATAGTAAGAAAAAAGCAATATTTTGTGAAGGCATGAAACGACACTTCCAAAATGCAACATTTTCGACATCTTCAAAAACTGTTAAACCATCAGAATTTCAACTTTTGCTTATTTTAAATTAAATGACCAAAGTTTGAATCATTGTACATTCTAATCACACTATCACTAATTACGATTAAGACTTAAAATAATAACCTGTCCAAGAAAATCTTTTGGCTTCTGCTTTTGTTGATGTATCTTCTCGTCACCTGTTCGATTGAAAACCTGAAAACCTATATTGACATACAATTTCTTCCATTTCGATCCTGGACGATTTTGGGCGTTAAATTAGCTGAGTTGGTAAATGGAAATTGTTGAGAGTACAATTTGATGAAATCACTTTTTTTTTTGGATCATTCGAAAATTTTGTGAGAAATGATTGAATAATGAGACAGTTTAATCAACGTTGGATAAATTTCTAATAACACTTTTGAAGAAATTAGTTCAACGTCAACGTTTATACAGCACTACTTTTGAAATTTATGACACCAAATCATTAGGTTAAAGGTTATCTGTTTTCAGCCAACTTAATGTGATCAGTGGACAATTGTCACCTTTCTTTCAACCTTCTTATTTTCAAATTATAATATAAAATGTGAAAGATCTGATAAAAGACAGCATTTTTGGTGCAATAGCAAACTGGAAAAATGAAAACCTTGCAACGAATAAAAACTTGGTTCAAAAAAGAAATGTCAAAATGAAGACTTTCTGAGGCAAGAGATTATCGTAAGAGGTGGAAAAGCTCCAGATCAATTAATATCAAGTTAATTAGTAAGAGATTATGAACAGACAATCAACGCGGCTATTTTTCAGCTTTGTAGTAATGCTGCTCTCATCTTAGATAATTCGAAAGTGATTTCAAATGTTAGTTGCAGATAAATGGAACGATGGAATACAAATGAAACATAATATTCAGCAAAAATCAACCATGTGTGGAAAGTTATCTGGCTACATTTCTGGATAATCCGGTAACTCTGCTTATTCAAGCCAATTTTATGTTTAATTATCGAAGACTGTCACGGTACGTAACGTAGTAATCACAGTTGTATATTTCAGTATTAATAACTATTTTTAAATTAAACCAGGAAACTCGAATTCCAGAGAAAGATGAAATTTCAGTTTTAAAATCTGAAAAAAAATCATAATTGAGTTGATTTCTCTTTGGTTTTAAAGAAACTTTTGATTTATTTAAAAGTTTGTTTAAAGAAACGACCAACAAAAATATCATCTATCATTCTTGATATTGCAATATATCAATCAGCTTAATTTTAACAAATTTTGAATAAATAAGTGTTAAATATCCCTCATAATAAACACTGTCACTTTTATTTAGCTATTTTGAAAAGACTAAATAGCTCATTCTAAAATAGCTGAAAGAACAGCATTTTTCCGGTTTTCGATTTCTAGAACTTACGCAGACTTTTCCGAATTCCATCATTTATACTTTCGGAAAACTTATGTACACTATTATACATACAAATCATTTCATCACTGATAGTTGACTGTGTCATCGTTTTTTTTTTAACAGAAACAAATTATTTTCCAAAAATAGAAAATATTTGTGTTTGGTTTCATATGGGATCTCTGTCAGATATTTCCGGTTGTTTTTAATTATTTCCGGATCATTTGATTTCCTGCCGTCTATTGTATATTTCAAAAATACTCAATATTAGCTCATTGTCTTATATTCGAAATGTAAGATTTTTTTAATCAGGCAATTCTATTTCTGATTCTGCTAAAAACACCCATTGTTATTAGTTCTTCGCCGAAATCTTCTCTGTTTCTCTCCCTGATTTTTTCTAGCCGTTTTCTTTCACATTGTGGAAATTTTTTCACAGCATGAAGTTTATCAAGCTCCATCAAGTGAAAAACCTAAACTTAAAAAAAGAAAACAACCTAACCCTGAAGTAATGGCTATGAACTTTCCGTTTCAGCTTTGGACAGATGGACAGATTCTAAAATATTTATGTGGCCTAGCGGTGTTGAAAATAACAGAATAAAGTGTGAAGTGATCAATCACTGATATCCTTATCTTTTCTGATAAAGGGATTCTATTTATAATGTGCATATTCTTCTTGAAATATTTACTAGTGATATGCCATAAACAAATCAGATGTTTCTCCATTCAATCAATATATTTAATTAATCATCAAAAACATCATCTGACCTGATCATTTGTTTCCACAAAATTATTTCCAGTATCATCAAAATTACCCGATTGAGAGTGTCGTGATATATCTGATGATGAATGCGAAAAACGCGATAAACGCCTGCAATATTAATCGCATTTAAAATGATTTTGAGATATTATTATTGTATTATAGATGATTTGTTTTAGTATACAATCACCAAATAAAACTAATAATAAGATTGTACAAATCATTTCCATCTTTAATTTTAGGAAGAACTGTAAACATTTTAGAGAATTTGAGTTATGAAAGAATTCAAATATCAAAAATTTTCGAAAATGAATTTTATGAATGTCAAAAAAGTTTATCATTACGAAAGAAATATTTAAGATTAAAAATATAAAAGTTAAAAATTTGCAAAACCTTCAAATACACATAGAATGCAAATCGATAAGAAGGATAATTGATTGAAAGACCAGGAAACATGATGATGTATTAGTGTATGATGATAACAATGATAATTGTTGAAAGATAATAGTTTAAAAGATTTTCAAACTTATCTTAAAGCTTCAACATATGTCCTATATTTCTTGATCAATTCCAATTTAAATGAAATTCATTTTTAAAACAATTTTTCCAGTGATTAGAGCAGCCAAATTGACGATACAAATATGTTGGCATGGATGTGTGTAGGTGTGTGTGTTTGTGTATGTGTATGTGTGTGCATGTGTGTGTGTGAATATTTCGATATTTCTATATTGCTTAGTAATTCAGTTTCAATAGACCTCACAACCTTTGTGATACTAATTGATAAAGAGATGATAAAAGGTGATGGTAATCAATTTAGAGGAATTTTCAATTCGCCGATTTTCTTCAAATTAAGATTATTTACTGTCAAAGTGGAAAATAAGCAAATGGGAAAAGCAATCATTTTAGAAGAAAAAAAACAATCATTTTTCGAAATAACACTTTTGTTTTGTAATTTGAGAATGAACTAAAAGATGAAACAGTTAGCGATGAAAAGCAACAACAGGTATATGAGCAAATGTGCGAATATTTATGTGTAGTGATGCGCTATTATGTAATTTCAGGAAACTAATTGGAACATTCATTATGCTTTCGAACGATTGTACTTTTCCGACAAACAGATTTTTTTTTTTCTTTCATGTTATTGTCTTCGGAGAGGAATTTTCGGCGGAGTGGAAATTCCTGAAAGATTTGTCTAACGAGGGAAATTATTCAACATTTCGATTGTTAAAGTTTACACTTTCAAATAGCAATTGAAAAAAGAAAAACCAATAACAATTATAGTAGCATTTTTTCCATTGAGTATATTTTTCAAACTAAATTTACTCTTGGTAAACCTTTTATCAAAAGTAAATTTTTTTTTTCTGTCCAGAAGAAAAAGTAATAAGCCTAATAATGTGTGTTCTGTTTGGAAAATGTGGATGCTTTACTTTCAGGATAGCAAATGTATCAAAGAATAAATGGTTTCAATGAGCAAAAGACATTTACGTTTCAATACTTCTAATGAGAGGAGCAACTCTGAAAGGTTTAAGATAATAATGAATCTCAGAAGTGATGAATGATGGAATGGATGTTATCAAATGATATGTGATATGATCATCGATGATATATTGATTGCACTTGGTAAACAATGTCATTGTAATAATATTATATGCTGTTCTCGTGAAATATTCCGATTTAAAGTACAATGGATTACTGAAACATTCGTCTCAAAAGCTGACCAAGCATTATCATATCGGCTAATCAACGTTTCATCGTTAACATCCATTAGTAATGATGAAGGAAGACATGCTTGACGCCGTGATTCGGTCCGCACAAACATTGCCATTGCTAATTAGTTAAGACTGAAAAATTATTTCACTTGTTACATGTTATGGTATGATGGTGTTTAATGTTTTTGAATTTTTGCTAATAGCATTAGTTATTTATTGATGGAGAAAACATCCAGATATTGTGATGTTATGGGCCAAAAGAATTTGCATAATTTCAAAATTACTGATGAAACTTTTTCGTCACAAAGAAAATATAAAAAGGAGTCGTTAAAAAGAAAAGAAAAGCACGAATGAACAACCTACTTAATAAAGTGAAATAAAAAGTATGACAAAAATTAACAAAAGAATTTCGAAAATGGCAGTCATTTTAATAAATAGTATTTTACAATGAAAACTTTTCGCAAAAGTCATTTCAATGTTCAGTCAAAAGTAACTTCAAACATTTCCCTGAACTTATATATTATTTAAATTAGGGTGTAAAATAACGTTCATTACGTGGACATATTGATGACCTTTATTTAATTGCCCTAAACGTCAGAATTGGAATTTTGTAACATGGTTGATTTGAAGATGTACCGTATGAAAGCCTTTGATGGTATTAATTCATACCTTTCATCACTCCTAAAAATAATATTTTCAAATGTGAAAATTAAAAAAGAAATTGACAAATGAAAGTTTTTCGAAAAGATAAACTAAAAAAATATATGAAAAAGGATTAGCTACCTCAAAAAATTGAAGTTGAAGTTGGTTGAATGAAGGTCGATTCGTTGGTTGCAAACTTGAATGCTTAGATGTGAAACAATTTATGTGCATTTAGCAATGATTGATTCATCCTGAAATAGAAACGCATTTGATTTGTTAGATTTGATAATATTTAACAACTTTTCGTTTTAACATTCGAACAATCAAACAAAAGCAAAGTGACAAATTATGTATGTTTCAACCACAAACATGCTTATTATATTTGAAATTTAAACTATCAGTTTTGATTTGAATAACAGATCAAGTGATAAGTATTGTTGTTTACTTTTCCAATCCATCACTAATAAAATTATAATTGAATTCTCCTAATAAATCACTGATACATTTCAAATGGTACTAGACAAACTACTGAATATTGTTTAATTGATAGGAAGTAATGTATTGCTAGACAACACTGTTATTCTTTCTTCTTTTTTTCATTCACTTTTATATTCTTTTCTGTTTCATTTTTATTTTTATCGACAACGAAATATGATGAAATAGTTACATCTCTTGAAATTTAAAACGTATCTTGTTTTTTTTTTTTTTAGTAATACGACTCTTTCGACCAAAAGTACATGTGGTCAGTCACTTCATCATTCCATAGGAATAATATACTACGGTCAGTTTCATACGTTACCTTACTGAAACAGAGCGGGTTATCTTATTGAAAGTTTCAAATAGAAAGAGATTAGGCGATTTGTTTGCTAAGATCAAGGAGAGATTCGAGACTTTCAGAGTACTGATTATATTATATTGATGAGATATTAGACACTGATTTTCATTTTATCAATTTATTGATTACATTCACGTCACTCCCGTTAGATGAATGCAAAAGCGGGTGTCAAAGAATGGAGTCACACGAATGGATTACACTGAATATCTTGACAGTCAAAGACATTAAATTTCAGTTTATCATTTGCTGTGATATGTGACAAACAGCAATTAATAATGGTGTTGATTAGTATAGCAAATCAAAACGATATTGTTTACATTGTAACATCATGAATTTCAAAAATATTTCTAAAATAATTAAAATATATTTTTTTCGTTTCCAAAACTTTACAAAACATCATTTAACTGGGAAAGATCAAAGCTTGTTCAAAGAGAAAGAAATGCTTGCAAAACAATTGATTTCATAAATAAGACAAAAGGAGTAAAAAGAATTGAATCAAACTAATCAAAGAATGAGGTATCATTCAAAGTGATGAGTAAACTTTCAAATCTAATCAATTTCAATTCAAAAAAAAAAAAAAAAAACTCCAACAAGATATCGCTTCGCATATTTGCTAATAGTATTGTTAGTAAAGTAAAACAAGTGCTAACCATCAATTCAATCCGATGATGCTTTCACGGTGGTTAAGAGATAGAAGAATAGAAAAGCCAATTGGCAGCTGACCAACCATCAAATGTAGGGCAAGTTGATTAGTATTAGAACACTGATTTGAAGTTGAACATAGCTTCTTTACACAAAATCCTAAACCACCCATCAGATTAACCTTTTGTTGTGCTACTTTAACTTACTCTCCTAATAATTACCATATATTCCTTAATATATAGACTGAACAGATGTAAGACTTAAGCAATCCTCATGTAATATACCATATGTAATTGCTAACTTTTAAATTACTTTGACTTTCAAGTTACATAAGCGCATGTCAATCTGCGTATGTATCCGATAATCCTAGTCATAACTCTAAAAGTATTTGATAACACTGCTTAGATTTACATGTCTTCAAGTTAGTCAACAATCAGATGTAGAGAATGTTTATTCATTCTCTTATGAATGCCACGAGTGCTTTCATAACATCCACGTCCCACACCTCAATGGTAACTTACGAAGCAATAGCAAAGAGTTATAAACTTATGTTTTATCAGAATCAACCATTTAACAATACTACTTCTAAATATGCAATTATTATTTATGTCGCATTCATGTTGCATTCGCATTTGTCACGCTTTCCTATTCAATAGAATAAAACTTCATTAGTCGCTTTTAAATTAATCGTTTACTTTACTAGAATAATGTTCAAAAATTAGCAAGTGCAATTAGCTCGATATCAAGATCTCAGAAATGCTAAAAGATCTCTGAAGAACTCTCTTCCATTTCAGTATGTTGATGATGTATTTCTGAACTAGCCAAACATCTGATAGTTTGTACCAAAACATTGGGAGGAACCTTTATACATGTTATAATAATAATTACATGAAATGGGTGATCAAGACAACACAAAACACTCAATATTTCCAACATGGTTTAAAATGATATTTTTCCCATTTCTCATAAAAAATTGTAATTTTAACAAAATCCCGAATCAACTTTGCTTCTTTAGTGTTATATATTTTGTTCCATAAAGATGCTCTAGCAAAACCTGAATTTTTTTTAAGAATTTTCAACGATCTAAATAGATCAATTTTTTTGCAAAATATTTAAGTAGATTTTTTGTAATTGAATGTAATGCTAGTACATCAATCATACCAGAGGATTAAGAGGAGCTAGAAAAATTAAAACAAAAAAAAGGGCAAAAAGCTAAAAAATGAAGTAATGTCAAATTACTGTCACAATGTATGTTCACGTTCATTATTATCTACCGAAATCTCACGTATTTTAAATTTTTGAAATTTCTAAGAATATGTGCTACAACGGACTTCCAGTCATCAGTTATCAATCGTAACAAATCATATTAATCCACAACAATATAAAACTGGGACGACAAAAACCTGAAAAAAAGGAGAAAAAACAAGGTCTTTAAAACATAAGAAACTCTTTACGTTAGCGAAGAAAGACTTGTTGCTGAAACTTATGTACAAATCTACTCGAAACAGGTAGTAAAATTTAGTTATCAATAAAATCGAGAGGCTTCAAACATCGGAAACTGAGTTGTTTTCCAAGAGTTTAGCTATGTTTTAAAGTGATATTTTCATCTTTCGTGCCTACTGGAACCGAGGTTAAAGCTCGATTAAAGCTCACTTTACAACATAAGGGTGACAACATTTTCCCACTCAACTGAAGCTGGTGCTACCGTTGCTGCCGAATGATGTGCGCATACTGTAGTAACTTGTATTGTTGAATGATGGCAAACTCGAGCCATGTCTTGAATTAGATGCTCGAATACGGGCAATGTGCTTAGCAATAGCACCTTGTTCGCGCCTTGTTGTTTCATCTCTTGAACTAGTAGTATTCCCCGAGTCGATGCTGTCTCCAGACAAATTTAGTAAGGTTCGTTTTTTCAACTGACGCACTTTAGTCCTTACAGCGCTATTCAGCATAGCGAGCCGACGCCGACGTTCTAAAAAGTAACATTTTCAACCTTCTTTATCTATTTTACATTTATTAAAAACAACTTCCAATTAATTTAGAACATCGTAATATCTAGAATCCACAAGTGCCCATCACAATTAAAAGGACTTCTGATCATTTAAAGCAAAGTATTCCACGGATAATAGCGAAACTACAAGTTGAACTTGTTCTTACGTGAACCTTTCATAATGATTTATAACTCTAAGCTATCAATGATCTGAATTATCTGCCCATAATTGGTTTACTTACAGTAGAACCGGAAAATGATACAGCACAAAAGGTAATTTCACAAAACATCAGAACTTCACAAAAAAAGTAAAGTCTCAGAAAGAACAAGATTTTAAATCAGAATGGAAAACAGCGCACCACCATCAGGTTTCGTTGATAATGGAGTACTGGCTACAAACGAACTACTGCAGAATTGTTCGACGGGACTATTTTCACCAAAGTAATTATCAGTTATTCGCCGTTTCCTTCGTTCACTGTTCGGACTTTTGCTACTGCCAATGGTGACATTTTCAGTAACATTTCGTAGTCTGAAATTTCCTTCACCAGAAGAACTTGCATTGGGTTTGCAACCTTCCGTAAAAGCGGGTGACAGTGAGGTTGTGCTATTCACATTCCATTGCTTCGATAAAGGAGCAGAATCAATAGAAGTGCCATCATTCTCCTCGACTTTCTCACCAGATTTAGACCTCGGAGTATATTGAAAATGATTTTGAAGAGTTTCCTCAAAATCAGAATCAGACGAAATACTCATGTCATCCACTTCATACTGCTCGTCTAACTGATCCTGCTCATTAATTCCTTCATGATGGAAATAATACTGCGATATTCCACTATCCGCATTTGATTCTCTTCTGCGAGTATTATCACTAGCATCCTTAGCCGGTCGTGGCAGTTTATGGGGATCAGCTAGATAAACACAAGCTGAGGATACTGTCTCTGCATTGGAAAAGTCAAGTTGCAACACTTCTAACTGGCGACAAAGTTCTGAAACAAAGGAAGGAAATTTACGTAAGTTTCAAAGAGATGAAATGAGAAGTTTTTCTTTTCTAATGGTGACTCAGACAGTTAAAAATTCATACAGTACAACTACATACAACAGTTGAATCAGTATCACATAAACTTGATAAGCATTATTATATGAATATGAAGTATTACGCTGTTAAGTAAATACATAAGATCGAGTAAATATGTAAGATATTAGTCTAAAACTTCACACATTAGAAAATATACGTTGCAAAGGAGGTACAAATGCTGAACTGATATCTGAAAATAATGCTAGCCTTCTTATTTCTAGAGTAAACGGTAAACGAAGTTCAAAAACCAGAAATTACCATCGATATCCCTCATTTCTTTTGTTGGAGTGCCAAAATTGAGTGCAAAACGGATTAGCTGGAAGAATCCGTGAAACAGAGTTAAGATCATTTTTGCAGTGCTGCTTTGTATGTCTAACAGTACCTTTTGGAAACGTTCGATCACGAGAAATATCACCTAAAAACTATCAAATGTAGTTTCCATTTGTATTTGGCTTTGAATGACTCGCACCTGTAGTTCATAAAATGAAATATAACAGTGCATTAATCCCTCCGCCATGGGTCAACTGTGAGGATGAAAATAAGAAAAGTGCAGAAGATGCTTGGATAATAGAGAAGAAATTAAGAGACGGAACAAAACACTCAACAAAGGTCAAAGGACATCTCGCAAATATAGAGGCAACTTTTTCAAAAAAAAATGACTTCGCGCTGCCCCTGTAAACTTCAAGCATGCAAAGGAGGTAAGGAGTCGGCCTTTGGGAGGACCGAAGGGTTGTGTGACCGATTTGCATGCTATTTTTGGTGCGAAAAGACGGTGAGAGAGGAGTGGACAGTAATTATTGAGGCCTCAAGCCTGATTCTCTGCTTGTCTATAGTGAGTTAGTGGCTATCAGTGAGTGTAGACTTCTGATGTGACCACCACAACTTAAATTCAAGTAACACTAAGCAGCTTGCACATGGCCAACGTTTTCCATTCTCGGTTTCGAGAAATAGTCTGAAAGTCCATCTTATCTCACTTTATTTGTCATGAAAGTACAAGTGTTGAAACGACAAAATCTCAAAATCTCTTTTGGAAAGGCAAACCATGTGCTTATATACTCGTATGTTACATACTTCTTCGAAATTCCAGAATATAACGTTCATTTACAATTTCAGACTCCATACGAATCAAGGCATTTCAATACCACCAAATGCCTACCTTTACAGTCCTATTCTTGCTTCACATAAGAATAGTGATTAAGAAGTAGGGCTTTTATAGTTCGTGAACGACCATTCATTAGTGACTACTAACGAAAATCACAAAATAGATGCAAAAAAAAAAATTGTCGCGAAATTTATTAACAGATCTTAAATAACTTTTTTCACGTGAACAATTTCTTTACTACAAATAATAAAAGAAAAAAGTTTTTTTCTGTCGATTTTACATCTTTTCGACAGTTTTCAATCCCAATATGTTGAAGCAGTCGGCCATTATAGTAGCTGTCACCTTGCACAGTACTAGCCGCTGATAATGAATCGTTGTTTTTCCTTAAAGAAAAGAAGGAACTTTTAATCTAATTAATTTAGCATTTGTATAATTAAACTGAATTAACATTCATAATTACAAATTAACTGCACTCCAACCTTTCACTCTCCTCATCTCTTACTCTCGTCCCTCTCCTTCAGTTAGTTGTATTTCTTTTGAAAATATTAACTGATAATAAGCCACGGTTATTAATACAATGACAAAGTGATCGTAAGAAGTAATATGATAGATTGAATCCTCAGCTTTATGATATCATAGTTTTTTTTTCATTTTTGATAAATCAATAAATTTAAATATCTTCCTGATTTTGGAGCTTTTTTATGAGTTAGAACCATTAACACTGACAGTATTGTATAGATCTAAGTGAAACAACATTGGTAGCTAATCGAAACAGAAAAGGGACATACCATCAAGATCTTTCTGAATTATGTAACATTCGCTGTAAAAGTCATGGAATACTGTTGCCAGAGAATAGACATAATCGCAAAGCTAAAAAATTCAAATAAGTAGTATAACAAAAAAACCACACGAAAAAGTCCAGGAAAAAACCCGAACTCAAGATTTTCCAAATGTCCAAATGAAATAAAATGAATACGAAACTAAAAAAATGCGCCATTTCTACCACTAGCAAAGAGGCCTACTTGATGCAAAAAAAATTATCCAATGTGTTCAGAATGCTATCAGTAAATTTCAGGATTGTTTTTGCCAATCTAAATTCCGATTTATGTTCCAGCGGAAGAACTCCATTAGGCAAACTGCATAAATAGTTGTGAATATCCTCATCAGAAACTCCAGTATTGCGACATATTGATCTGAAAATCAAACAGACAACAAAAGGGGAAAGATCAGCTCAAGTCCAATTCGTTCTAAATTACTCCCGGAAAATTTTAATCAAAATATTGTGCTAAGATATTGACAAAAAAGGAGAAGTTTAATGCAAGCACAGAACATCGTTTTGCATGAAAAATGAAGTTCAAACGAAGTGGAAATGAAAAATAAACAAACTTACTTTATTCTAGCAAAGGCGTAGAGAAGATAAACAGCAGTATTGCCTCGATCATCTAACATCTAGAGTAAGATTATTTTTAACTCTTAAAGCAATATTTAAACTAATCAATTCTACCTTATGATCGAGTATGCCATATTAATAAGTAATTGAATTCTAAACATTGTAAGATATAAAAACATCAAAATTTAAAATTTTCAAGGATGTATCGTACCCGATCAAATGAAAAAACATAATCTTGCGTACGAGTCTGTGACAAATCAGCATATTTCACACAACCATATGCAACAGCGTCACGGGCTAACGTCAACTCTTCCGAAATCATAACCTTCAAGGTATACGATGATTAGAAGTTTAAAAGAATATTTTTTCAAGACGAAAATTTAAATGGTCTGGAAATGAGGCGATTAAATATCCGAAAAATAAAAATTTTAGAACTGACAAACCTTATCTCGTTCTTTCTCTTGTAATTTTATTTCTGCTCGCTTCACGCCCTCATCAAGTAGATCTGTTAATCGAACTGTATCACCTGACCGCGTTTTAAATTTTTTTCTGGAATTACAATAGACAGATCTAAGTTTTTAAAGCATTCGTTCTTTACCCAAATGGTCAAGTGATTTGGTGAATTACTTAAGAATTTGCCATATGATTTTGGAGTATGACATATAACAGATTTGAATTTAAAACAATCTTCTGTTTGCTTCAACAAAGGGATGAAGGCATTTGCAAACGAATAACATTTATCCACAAAATTCAAGCTGGAGATGACCACTATTATTGGAAAATAAAATTTTTTTGGAATTCAAAATCTTCCAACTTACTTGTCCTCCCCCAAAACTAGACCAAGACTAACAAATTCAACTCGTTTCTCAGTTTGTGAATACCATCCAAGTTTTTGGCCGGCAGCATATACAAGCTAAAGATAGAGTCAAATTACGGCTGTTCAGACGTTCAAATAATTAACAATTAATAATCAACCGCAAGCTGAAGCAAATAAGAATATCCGAACAATCAATGATAAAAACTGATGTTGTCGTGATACCGACTTCAAAATGTAAACTTTGTCCAGCATCGACAACGTAAATTATCCAATCCGCTTTATCGACAAACAAGCGGTATTTCAGAGTTGCCAGATCAGATGTATCATACGTAAAAGCACCATCTGACTTGACAACAGTAAGTGGAACTCTTCCACCAACTCTTAAAATCTTCCTTCCTTCATCAAGCTCCAAAACACCTGGAATTGTTTAGCAATTAAACTGGAGATCAGAAGTTCATGTTTACGAAATATTAGTGCTAATGCATTAAACACTTTGATTAGTCTGATATTCGCCTTTCTTTACGGAACTTCCAACTACTTGTCACTTATAATATCTTTATAGAATATTATGAAAGTACTTGCTTGAAAACTAAAAGGATTACCCAGTTTGTCGAGTTCTTCGACAAGCTCAATCATATGCTTCTGGTAGAATGATTCGCCCCGTTCAACAATAGTTATACCCAACCGGTCGTAAATTTGATTGAAATCTTTCCGAGAAACATCGCAAATCATTTGCCATGCTTTCACGTAATCTGGATCGAAACTTTGCAGCTTAGTAACGCATTGATAAGCTCGGGCTTTAAATGCTTCATCTTCGTCAAAGCGCTTCTTCGACTCCTAAAATTCATCTATAAGTTGAATATATTTATTTATAAGTAAAATACATTTATAAGTTTTATAAGTTGAAATTAATCCTAATATTTTTAGTTCAAATTAATCCAAAAAAAGCGTAATACGGTCAACTCACACATATGACTTGAAAATCTATGACACTGCGAAATATTAAAATTTTAACCTTGTAGAAAGTCTGTAGATCTGAAATTGGTGGCACTTCATTGATGAAATTTGGAAAACAATCTTGCAAATGTGCAATTAGCATGCCAAACTGTGTGCCCCAATCACCAATGTGATTCAATCGAAGAACCTTTAAGATATTAAAGTTTTAATGTGAAAAATGCTTTTCATCGGCAAATCAAAATTTGGGTTATCCACAATGTACTTTCCGATTTTATTACAAAATTTGTAATACTGATTTCATTCAAAGGCTCATCCCTCCGATTATGATTAGTGAATTTTCACATTGGTTAAATACATAATAAGCAAATTTCTCGACAAAAGAATAGCGACTCAAAATGAAGAACAGAAATATTAACTAACATCGAAACCAACATAGGTGAGTAAACGAGAAATACTGTCGCCTATAATCGTGGATCTCAAATGACCCACATGCATTTGTTTGGCGATGTTCGGAGACGAAAAGTCAACCACAACACGACGTTTTTCAATTACTGGAATTTCAATGCCCTAAAAATTCTTGGACTCATATTTCAATTCGATATCTATTTGAAAAACATTTTTCAAACCACGGTAACAAAAATAAGTACCTTTAGAGCAATATTTGCAATACTTGCGGCAATCCAATTCTTATTCAAAAATATATTGATGTAACCAGGTCCAGCAACTTCCATCTAAAAATGATATGAATAGTAATTAAAAATATTGATGAATCCATAATTATCAATTTATATACCTTCTCAATTCGATCACATTTAGGCAGGTTATCCATGATTCTTCGTGCGACTTCTTGGGGAGAAATTTTCTGACCATTTCGTCCTAGCTTCTAAAGCAAATTGATAGAAAGTATTATCAGAATCATTTTACTAAAAAGTTCCGAAAAAAATTAAAGAAGCAATTAAAACCTGAGCAATAGACATTGACGAATTGAACTGATAATCACCAAACTTAGCTTGCTGAGTCTCTGTTATTAAAATAGGAATAGTAGACATTTCCGGATATAACTGAAATTTTATTTCATATACTATCTACGAGAAAAATCAAAAAATGAGGAAATTCCTATTTACATGTACAACAGACTAATATTCAAAGCTTACTTACTGCTACTCGCAAGTCTTAAAAAAGCAAAAATCGGTTTGTTCATGAAGCTTACCTTAGAAACGCTTTCTAAAAATAAAGCACGGAACAAGCACAGCAACGAACTTCCAAAATCCTTCACAACGACATAATTGTATTTTTTGGTTTCAGTGGAGGGTTTTCTATATGAAAGTTTTGTGGATAATTATGATCAACAAGGTTGATAAGGATGCGAAATATATGAAATGTAAGTTACAGAAATACCAGGAGACATTTGAAAAAAAAAAAACAACCAAAGATGCAATTTGTGTAGCAAAATAAAATTTCTGAATTATCTGGCAAATAATCTTGATTTCTGAATTAATCATAATAGAACCTCCATAATAAAAAAAAAACTTGAAAAACGTGGGTAACTAAGGAATTACTTATTTCCAATAACTTTGTCACTATCGTTCTTTGAGCCCTTCGTTTTCGATTTCTTCTGCATAGGTACTTCAGTGCTACTATTTCCAATGCCATTTTTTCATTTATTTGTTCTTGTTTATGTATACTCTGAAATTATCATTTGCTCCTAAAGTTTATTTGAAATAAAACTGCGAAAATTCCTTTTTCAAAATTTCTAATTAATCCACTTTATTTGGGGACATTGCAAAATACCAATATACACGAATCTTACAGTGCTTTTCCAAATGCAATTTAGTTGATTCCAATCAAATTTGTGTAAAAAGTAATTCAAAACAAAACCTGACCTTTCTCACAAATAAAGTCAATATATCGTAAAAAAAAGAAAAAATTACGGGTTATCTGAAAGAATATTAATAAACTTCCCTTCTCATAACACAGAATAATTTTTTAGTTACGAAATCGGTAATATAGGAAAACAGTGCAAAAGAGTATTGCACTCACCGTCTGAAGGATTTGGATCCTATATTTGAGTTTTGTATTTTCCGTTACAGCTTTTGATAAGTTCGGACAGTGTTCCAGAACAGCATCACTCATGTCTCCTTTTTCCATGGCTTCTAGCAAATTTTGGTATGTCACAAGTTTCTTTTCCTAAAGCAGGTATTAAATAACTGCTTTAATGAAACATTATAAAGAACAATTTCAAATGAAAATCTATTCTTTAACGATATCGAAAACCTATATTTTTTTTTCTTCTGTTCCTCAGAACCATGAGATGAATGATAAAACAAGTTCATTTTCCCTTAACAATAAGTTGGTTTGGTCGGTAATTCATCATAACTTTCGAGTACTATTTCCCATTTAGAAATGAAGATATCATCTGGATCGACATAAGACTTCTTTTCTCAGTAATTTCTGATCCAGTATTTCAGTGACTTTTTTAATCTAATTCAGTAAATAACACTCACCTTAGAAACCAAAACAATAGAGATCATAATTAGATAACCTTCCCATATTAACGATAGAGACTAGATCAGCTCCTTAAAAGACCACTAAATAGCTACAAACCGATCACTTAGTTTATCCATAATCATCTCGATTATCAAAGAAAATGAACAAAAAGAAAAACAATTAACTGATTTTTCAAGATGCTGCTTGAGCTGTCGCAACTCGCTGTCACAGGAAATACCATTCAGCGAACCTGATTTCATCACTATAGCACCTTATGTATCCTGTAAAATCATTTACTACTCTTCGACGGCACTACAAGATTTTTGATATTCCCTGAAGGGCACGATCCAAGATAAATTTGAGATTTTTGATTTCGAAACGTCTCCATCTATACCGCTAGTACAGATACTACAAATTTTCTTTCGAAAATTCTACATCAGTAGTAAAACGTGTAAGTAGAAGATTCCCTTTCGACTGAGAGCACTTTTCAGTCAGTAGGAACACTACCAAAAGGGTTGAAATAAATGTAGCTTGTATTATCACATACTGGGTTGTCGAAAGATATGAAGATTTGAGAGTCACATATTTTTTGTCAAGAAACTCTTCTTGTAAAGAACACTGTCAAAACACAAAAAATGTCCAATAACAAAAAAATAACAAAAATGATACAATGGTAACTGCAAATTGATATGTACAAAACAAATATAGCAAAAGTATCAAAAATAATGAGCGAAAAGTTTCCAAAAAGTATAAGTTTGCAATTGTCGATAAAAACATCTCGAAAGGACTCTAATTCTAAATCTTATCATACTTCACCTTCCTCTACTTACCATTTCCACTGATTTTAAAAAAAAGAGAAAATTAGTTTCTATCAAATCCCATTGCGTTCTCCTCTGATATTTCTTAGTACTGCGAAGGATACAGTCAAATATAAAAAAAAAAGAAAAAAACCAACTTGCAAACTAATCTTAAAACTCTCATTATAAATCCAAAATCGTAAAAAAAAGAAGAAAACTCGTACATACAAACTAAAACACAACTTTCTTCATTAATAAATAAATGCTAGAATCAAGTTCGAAACCATGCAAATTATTCGCATCACCTTTCAACCGCATCAGAAGACCACCAAATGAAGCATATGCTGCTAAGGTATTTGTTTCGGAATTTGATTCCTCTCCCTCAATTCGATATACTTTCCCAAACATTACATATTCGAATGGATCTAGTCGTGGATAATGTGTCTGAAATTTGAACGGCCAACGATAAACCCTGCGACAAAGAATATGATATCAAAGTGACAAACCTAATATAAAACATTTCCTAATTAAACTGATGGTGAAAGAAACACGCTGGACATGACGCAATGCTATTTTGACAAAAGGTTTATAATACTAGTCGTTAACTAATTTAAACAACAGTAAGTTAAGATATCGATAAGATTTTACGAAGGGAACGAAATTCTAAAACTAAACTGAGCTGAGCTTCCAGCAATCAAAGCAAATAAAATCGCTTACCTGATTATCAAACTCTCGCTCATCAGGTAGACCATCATCACGTAGAGTTGTTGCCAGCAATAGTCGGAATTTATCGTTCAGATTCATTGGGTATCTGCAAGAACTATTTAATTTGTCATGATCTCTTCCACTATTTTGTTTTATTTTATTATTGTCTTTTCCTTCAATTCTTGTATTTAAAATACTATTCATTCATACAGCTACAAGCAAGGAAGATAATCTTACAGCTGTGTGTTTACATCGAGGATTAGCTCCATTTTAAAAGATTCACTGTCGCAAAATAAACGTGAAACACGGTCAAATTTCTTCCCTTCTGGGTCAACATCCTTCACAAGGAACATATCATCAAACAATATACCCGTTGCCATCTTCTGAAAGAGCAAACTGACAACACTGATGACCATCAAACGGATTAGATAATACTGATTACTTCCAGAAGTGATAAGTGATAAAATAACCTCTGGATGAAATCGTTAACAGTTAAGCAAAAGATACACTTTTCTATGAATTCTAGATACTAATTTTTTGACTGAAACAAAGAGAAAATACTAGAGACTGGTCGTAAAGGACAGCACAGTAAATATACGAAACGCTTCACAGATGCGTCATACACGACCACGTCCGACCTGATGCAATAAAGAAAGAGGGCAATAAACCAAGGAAATATTTCACGGACGCATCACTCAGGATCACGTTTGACGCAATGCAGTCATAAGGGAGAAAACAGTAAACCGAATAAACACTTCACGCACGACCACGTCTAGGCAATTCAATCAGATGCATTCCTATCCTGCCAATTGCAACGATCGCAAAGCGTTCTTTGCTAATCGGCACTGGATCAATATGCGGAAAAGAGACATTATCAGGTATAGAATTCGAAAGAGAGTAGATGGAAGCATAAAGAAGAACAAAATAGCACAGCAAATTGCATTAGAGTAGAAAACGGTAAATTTGGGAATGTTGGAGACGCAGGTGGGCGGTTGGAAAGTTTGAAAATTACTCGTGAATGATATTTATCTAGAAGATGGTCCTGTCCCGTATAGCGTTGTGTTCGTTCCTTATATGGAAGACGAAACTATGAATTATCATGAATTATCAGCTTATCTTGTCAACTTATGGTCATTTTCCTTCACAGAGAGAGGGAGAGAAAGAAAGAGAGAGAGAGAGAGAGAGATGACCACAAGGATTTGATAATTTTCTTCCTTTCCATTGTCGATTAAATTAATGATTTGATCATTGTTTGTATACTTCATTTCTTTCCGGAATACATTTAGCATGATCTAAAATGGAAGATAATTATCATCAAGGATAACCCTTTCAGTGATCTTATTGTCCATACACAATCCTATGTCATGCAATTCCATTTATCATTTACTCATTTTCAGATTTTTTCTCGATCTGGTCAATTTCATAGTTTTGTCTTTTGATTTTAACATTTTTGAGTCAGATTTTGTAATAGGTATGATATTTTTGAGACAAATTTTTAATGAATCGAATTTGAAATCATTCCCTCGTTTGCTCCCTTGTTCTTGTCAGTTGCTGTTAAAGTGTAAACAATTTATGATTAAGGTTTAATAAATGGATTATTTTCAGGAATAATGGCTCTTTGGGTTGATAAATATCGACCACGTGAACTCTCTGCTCTAACCTATCATGTTAAACAAGCTAGAGATCTCATTGAAATCGTTAAGGTGAGAATTTTTCTTACTATCTGACTTTTATTGTGAAGAAAAATTTGGGAAATAGATAGAACTAGGGTTGCTAGTAGAAGCACTGAAAAAGAAAAATTTCAAAAACGTGATTTGAGATTAGTGATTTTTGGCTTTCCTTCATTGCAAAGGTCAAAAATTGTAGTAATAATTATAGGTTAAAGTTCATTTTGGTAATTCCCTCTGGAAGGTTGTTGCTATATATTTAAGACTTGCGTAATTCAACCCACTACTTTAATCCTTGCAGAGCAGTTACTCGTGTACGTAAACATCAGTATGAAAACAGGTTAGCTTGATGGATACTGAATGTTAATAGTATTTCAGCATACTGTACTAGATGTAAAGAATGAGGGAGGGGATTGAGAGTACCTCATGTCCTATGGCTGGTATTTATCTCCGGTCAGGAAATGACCAATGCTTGAGGCTAGTATATTTTGATTGGTGGTTCATCGTTTTTGTCATAATTTGAGATGCTCAACTTTCTTGCAATAATCGAGAAGTAAAAATGTTGTCCAATTTGTTATCGTAAAAAACAAAGCAGTCAGAAAAAAATTCTGTATGGCCTTGGCCACAAATTGACCGAGCTGGAATTGATAACTTTTGGCATATTCTTATAATATCGAATGAAATTATCAGTTGAATTATGATTGGATTTTCATTTTCTCGCAGCTAAAACTGAGCAGATTATTAAAACATACTTTAATGATAGTGGACAAGCGTAACAGAAGGAAAATATCTTTAAAAAGATTTTCAGAAATTTTAATTTTGAGAGAACAGATGGTTTCAGACCGGTGACTTCCCACATCTCCTTCTGTATGGCCCAAGTGGTGCCGGCAAAATGACCAGGATTTTTTGTATTTTGCGAGAACTTTATGGCAGTGGTGTGGAGAAATTGCGGATGGATGCACGTAGTTTCCAAGCTCCATCTGGCAAAAAACTGGAAATTCAAACCTTTACTAGCAACTATCATGTTCAGCTTAGTCCTGGGCTAGTTACATTTTTTTTTGCATCGCTTTAAAACTCCCAGTATTTGAAATGTATAATTTCTGCCATAGGTCAAAAGTTAGAGAAAATTTTCAACTGAAGGTATTATTTATTACAGACTTTTGTCTAAATATTTGTTTCAAAGTTTTTGGATTCCAGAGAAGTTGGTATCTACGACCGCGTCGTTGTTCAGGAAATTATCAAACAAATGGCACAAATGCACCAGATTGATGTCGCAACACAGCGAAATTTCAAAGGTTCATTAAAATATTGGAGTTTTAAATATTGTTGCGGAAATCATGAAGTTTCCATATTTTTTCCCAACAGTGGTGCTTGCCATCAATGATAAGAAATGATGCATGCAAGACAGTAAGCTTTACTTTACACTGAAAAATGGGAAGCATGTGAATTCCACACAATTAATGTCAGGAAATTGTACTATACATATGTTTCTATATAATTTAAATTTGCAATTCCATTGCACCAAATATCTCGGCGATGAATTCAGTGTCCCTTAATTTTTATTTTTCCTCTTAATTTTCATTTTATTTGTTTATTTTTTCTGAAGTACAAAAGTAAACTTCAAAAAATATTCTAATTCAAACCGTTGTAAAGAAAGTCCATGCAAATTCAGAGCCTATTTTTTCAGTAGCTGTCTTGATGGAAGCAGATCAGTTGACTCGAGATGCACAAAATGCGTTGCGTCGTACGATGGAGAAGTATGCGCAATCATGCCGGCTTATACTGTGTTGTGATTCAATTAGTAAAATTATCGATCCTTTGAAAAGTCGGTGCTTGGCGGTTCGTGTAGCTGCACCTTCAGATGATGATGTAAGTTTTATATAAAAAAGAAGGAAATGTCCTTGAGATGAAGCATGTTTTTATTCGAAAAAATTTTGCTATTTCAAGTTTTTGGACAGGCTGAAGTTGCTCTATTTGAAATCCATAACTTTAATTCCCAAGTTCAAAATTCCCAAAGCCCAAACTTCACCTTTGTATTAAAGTTTCAAGTACATCATAGTTTGTTGAGTTCAAAATACTTAAGCTAGAATTAAAATTATCTTCTTTTAGGTGGCCAAAGCTGTTAGGTTTGTTTGCAAGCAGGAAAACGTTTCTGTTCCTGATAGCATTGTCGATGCCGTTGTGCAAAAAGCTAATGGTAATATGCGACGAGCTTTATTGATGATCGAAGCAGCAAAAGTACAGAAGTAAGTAATATTTTCTTAGTTGTGCAGTTGTGTTTATGTTTAACAAATTTTTAGAAAAAATTGTTTCCATATATCTTTAGTTCGAAATTTCAAATTTCGAAAGTGTAAAATTTATTTTTACTGTGTTTTTGCTGCGGTTTCCCCTAACTACAGCTAATTATTCATATTTATCTCAATATTTTATTCTGATCATATTTTATTTCAAGTTCTACTTGATTTTTTTGGAAAGAAATAACCATGAGTGGGGATAATTTAAGCTTTTTCACTTCAGCTATCCATTCAAGGAAAACCAAGAAATCCCTGATCCGGAATGGGAAGTTTATTTGCGAGAAACAGCTAAAATGATGATACAGCAACAAAACCCTGAAAAGTTTGTCTTCAGTTACTTTAAAGGGCCCTATGATATCTGTAATGCAATCACTGTTTTCTGTTGTTGTTTTATCTGTTGTTTACATTTTTACAGCCTTCTCAAAATACGTAATAGATTTTACGAATGTATTGGACACTGCATACCTCCAAATATTATTTTTATGGTATGTTTTTGTTATTCACATGTACCTGATTTATATGAATCACTTTTCTTAAAAATGGGTCTTCTGTTTGAATTATTTATTGCTATAGATATCAGAAGATTTTAATATTTTACATTCTAGTTTTTTATTCTTTAGTTTTAGAGTATTTTCAGAAATTATTACAAGAACTACTAAAATCCTGTGACAATAAAATCAAGGTCGAGGTGGTTGCTGCGGCAGCTGAATATGAGCATCGCCTAATACGTGGTAACAAAGCTATATTCCATCTGGAAGGTTTTGCTGCATCATTCATGGAAATCTATCACAAACATCAAAATGAGAATGCAATGGAGCATTAATGGAACATTCTGCACGTAAGTAAATTTTGTTTTAGACATATTTCTTTCGTTGTGTATAATGATTGTTTTTTTTTCTTTTTTCTTGATCAGGAATAAAATGATTAGTTGTAAATTTATATATCTTTAATTTGTGTTTTATGTTCTTTTCACCGCTGTTGTGGATCTGAAGTAGAGAAGAATGCTGAAAATCATGATGTTGGATATCATCTAAGAAAAAAAAAGGATCACAATCCATATCATCATACGACTTGCTCAAATAATTTTTCATTTAAAAAATTTTTTGGTGCTCCTCATATGCTTTCATTTCCTTATATGCTCTAATATGGGTGGGGATTAGATACATTGATAGTTGCAAGGATTCTCTTAGAATTAGGAGGAAGAACAAATTCTCATGTTTGATCATGTTCATAGTCATAATAATTTTAATGAATCAAGATCCCGACAACAATTTGGTTCCTGGGAGCGTATTTTAATATTTCATAAAATTTCTTCTGAAATTTATGGTTGCGGAAGCAGTATGATACGCATCATATTGCTGGATGCTTTGTTAGAATCTTCTGATTGTTAGTATTATTATATTTCTTCATTGCTTCGTACACTTTGATTTTTGTCCATATTTATTTAATTGGAATATTTTTGATGAGAATTTTCTTATGGATTAAATAATTTTTTCCAAAAATTTAAATCTGTTGAATGCACAGTGCAATACAGTGTTTATGCAGTGCCGTTTCCCCTGCCACCTCTTACTTTTATGAACGATTTAAACTTAAAATCTACAGTACTGTGGTGGAAATAGTTTACAAATGAGCAATCATCACCAAAATGTTTTTTTGTTTTGTCTTGTTAATATTTCGATGTTTTCCTGTTACGGATTTAAATAAATGATTCATTCCATTTTGCATCTTGGAAATAGCTTATAGTAATATTGCTTCGCATTTGTTATCAATATGAGAAGTTAATGCATCTGAAGAAACATTCATTTTCGAAATTTCTTTCGCTTTTAAATTTCTTCAAGTTGACGGTAGTTTTTCGCACTAAACTAATATTTCAAATTTACTGTAGTGCCAGTAAGAAAACGAGAGCTGATTGATAGGTAGGAATCGTATGCCTTTTTTTTTTCTCACTCCGTAGTGCATGTGAACATTTCCTGAATGATAGACCAAAGATTTCAGTTAATTTCAAGTCTTTTGGTCTTTTTTTTTCAATTCGAGAATGATTCAATTTTTAGTTTAAATATCAATGAACATTATGACTGGAAGTGAATGCTACACCATTGATTTTAATGAACAATTCCTATACGCATCCAATAATTGCACATTTCAAAACGAACAAGAGGCAGTTTCAGTTCTATGGATTATACTCGCGCACAAAGGTTTCCTCTTTCCTCTTCCATATGGTCAATTTCGCTTCATTTAAATTCATTGAAAATTTTCACGAAAATGTACTGTTTGTGCTATTTTCGCATATTTTATTCAATTTCAAAATATTTGAGCGGTTTTGTAAACTTATTACTTTGATATTTGAATTAGAACTAATTTTTGAAATAGAACAAACGTACTAACATTGTATTTGAAACACTAATCTTTTGGAACTATTTTTCATCAGCTCAAAAGGTGCTACTCTTTGAAAGCTTAAAATCAGTTAACATATATTTTACTCAATATTTCCCTAGTTCTTATTATTATTTCCGTTATTATCAATTGTTATTAACATTGAAAGCGTTCAGTATAACAGTTTTATATTCCAGCATCCATTAGCATTTCTTTTATCCAAAAATTCTGACTAATATATGTTTATATAAAAGTATGGAGTAAAATCCATAAAATTAGTTAACAGTAATTAAAAGGAGGGATGTTTAAGCTTTCAAGCACACAATCAGTGAGCAGCAAATTAGTTTCTTGAAAGGAAAAGTATCACACAATAACAGATTTTAGGATTAGATACGCCCATTAAGTTATGAAATTTGTGAGTAGAGAAAAATATCATGTTTGTTGTATTTATATTAATATAAGGTGAATGATCAAAGTATTATGATTAATCTATTTCATGATATTTATCTCTGTCTCTCGTATGTATACTCGTATGACATAGCGTCTCCTAATTAATTCAATCCTTTATTATAATTCTGTTTAGGTAATGATAAATTTTTCGCTTCTTGCAAAATGGTTAATAAAACTCTACCAATGTTTAGGAGGTAGTAAATATGTTCATTTTTAATACTTTGACGAATGTATTTAATCGATATCTCATTTTATGTAGCATGCATTGTGTGACATTTTCAATATTCTTTTCACTTTTTGTTTTCTGATATTTTGAGTTTTTAGTTTGGTTTTCGTTTTTTTTCCTCCATTTGTAAAACGCTCTTTTAAACCGAGTCGATTTCAGTTTTATTGCTTTTCAAGTTTAAATTTGAATTTCAAATAACCATTAATGTTTTCCATACACTTTGTGTAATTTTTGAAAAATGATTCATAGCAGAAAAGAAATAGTATTATGCTGCATCACTTGTCATTGAGCTTCCTACCTATAAGAAACATACCTTTGAAATTTTTTTTTTTGTGTGTTAAACAGTTTCACATTCCCATGAAATAGCAGGAAAAGTTTTCATTATCAGTGAGTTTTTTTTTTTTTTCTAACATTTTTATGTCGTATGATGCTTCTGTTAGGTTAATCTCATCTATAGACAGTCTCAGTAATCACTGACAGGTCTAATCAGTGTCCAACTGGTTAGACTTGTCCCGATCATTGAACTCTGAACTTATTGAAGCAATTAGTGCTCTACCATAATTATAGCAATCACTGTCTGTGACAAATAGTACTTTTTTTTGTATGAATTATCCTTGTTGACTGCTTATTAAAACAATATTGTCATCATCAAGTGAATTTGATAGTTTTTCTATTATTTTCAGAGAAAGGTAATGCACGTGGGAATCCCAACTATCGTTTGGTTCATTTTAATCAGTAATTTTAATTTTCAAAATTTAAATTTAAATTCATTTCAACCAACGTCTTTTCCCTTTTCAGTTATGTATTTCCATAAATGTTATTTCTGTTTTCAATTCGATATATCGTCATTCTCGTTTTTTTTTTCTTTTCTTTTGAAGGGCTGCTGAAGGTGTAAAAAAGGCGTCGAGAGTTGAGAGTACTTTTCATTTCACTTAAGAAATAACCAGTCTCTTTCCACTAAAACTCACTGAAATTTTTTCGTTTATTCCTTTTCAGAGAAATAGGTGAATGGGGGGAGAAAATAAAACGAGTGCAATTTTGGGTTTATGATGTTTAAGTATAAGGATAAGAATGATTTTTGCACATGGTGACTACTAGAAAAATCGATTCTTCATTGAGAATCCAGTTAATAAAGTTGCTTTCTTGTTTTCTTGTTAAGATTTGAAAACAGCATTGATTTGCGCGACATCAACAAACAACTTCAATTTTACAAACCTTTCCCATCCTTTTTTTTCTTCTGGCTAATGAAATCAGTGATTGAAAATGGAAGCATGGTTGTTTTCTCAAATAAGAAAATACATTTCTTTGAATATCAATTTTCATCTTTAAAAGATATTGATGCGTATGAGTGGACTGTAAGTTTACGTGTTATCTACTCTTGTATATTTCAAATCGATGGTTTCAGGTGTTTTATGATTTTGGTATGCTTGATTTAACAAAAAAAAAAGAAAAAAAACTCCAAATCACTCTTAACCTATCTGTGAACTATTAAAAAAGGAACCGTAAACAAAGGGATATCGAACTTTCAAGAATATCCCATCTGAAACTATCCAAACTTATCTTTCACTAATTATTCAATCAGTAGGAGATTCGAGATGCCTCAAAATTCGTTTGCACATTTTTCAAGCGCCTATTTCCTTATGGGTATTTACAAAATGCTTTTATTTGAGAAGTACTAGATAAATTTTGTCTTAAGGGATGTTGTGCTAAGGATACTAACGTTCATATATTTGAAATAATCGAAATGATAAGCGACGAAGAGAAGCAAGAATTGAGGAAGGAATCAATGCAAAATGATGATTATCAGGAGATAACAGCGCCAGGAATAATATATACACGTGGTGGAAAAGAGGATTTCGTGAGTTTTATCAATGCCAGTAATGAAACTAATGGTTGGACAGGGAAGTATCGCGACTACGACTGTTACAGGAAAATGCTAGGTCCTGCGAAGTTACATGATGTTGCTGCGAGGACAAAAAGTTGGCTTTAATGCTTTTCATTCAAATTTTATACTTCCAATAAATGACATAAATGAAGCAGGCTTTATATGGAACAAAGATAGCTATCGAAAAAGAACTTGAATTCAACTAAACTTTTTCATGATTAAATGTTCTCACTGAGATGCTCAATTTATTTTCATCTGAGTTCGCTACTTGAGTGTATCGTGCCGTTGATGCTTTTGGGAAATTCTCTTGAACTTCTCTTGACTTGACACTGTGTTGTCGAAATTATTTTTATTTTAATGTTGTTTGGTCATTCTTTTAGTATATGAATTTTTAACTGATATCCTCAGGCCAAAATTTTTTGATGCTTTTTTTTCAGCAAAGACGAATTTATCTATATGATTTAATATACATTCACATGCTACTTTCTTCGAGGTTCTCAGGCATTAAAATGAAAACTCCGAAAAGGTCACACATCATGGTGATTTATATACAAACTTCATATCATTAATTTTCAAATGAACACTAAATTATAGTTGGTGATTATGTTGGGTCGTGTATATGTCTCGAATTTGATACTTATGCGTTCGTATCCTTATACTATATACATCCCGAATATCGAAAGCGAGGTATTGGAACCGAATTATTCAAACGGGTTATTAATGATGACCTGCGAAAGAAAAATATTGGATTACATTCTGGTTAGTTCAAAATTCTTCTAATTTGTAACTTTTCACAATTTTTTCGTAACTTCTGAGACAGAAAGATATAAGTCAAAAGAATGAGCGAGCATTAATAAAGCATATTTTAGTGCAGCATATGTCAGCGGTATATAGCCAACAGCTTGGTTTCAACAAATGGGCATCTTGGACGCTTGATATCATTGAAGTGAAGAATGTTGACAAACAAAAAATTATTGGTATTTACGCGGCTGCAATTTTTTTGAAATTTTTCAGATGAAAATCTCAGACTTTTAATAAGGCTTCTATAATCCGTGATTGTAGAAGAAACGATACGTTAATCAGACTGACTGATAAGACCAGATACAATAACTGAATATGAATAAAGGAAGTAATATGGCCGTAATATCACTGCTTATTCTTTCCTTAAAAATTACTTCACTAAGATGTTAGGAAGTGAGACATTGTAGTCCTAACATTAAGCAATGCTTACTTATCATAACGAGAACGTAAAATGAATTTTAACCACTAGGATTTTAATCCAAAGTTCAACTGCAGTTGATAATATTCATTTAACCGTAAAAGATGGCAAAGAAGTAAGCCTACAGCGAATTATTGATTATGATGCCAAAGTCGCGAAGTGTCGACGTGAAGACTTCGTTATGCATTGGGCTGTAGATCGCATTGATGCAATCTGTAAGGTATGCGACGGGAAATTGTTCAAATTAAAGTTGTGGATTCATTAAAGAAGTGGGATTAATTATATGCGAATGAATGTTCTTACGAGAAAAAAAAGAGTTAATGGGGATGACTGCTACATAATCGGTAGTAGTTGTCCGGTTACTTTTTAGATTTCAGGTTAAGGTCTGTAAAACAGTATATAAAGTATCAGCAATAATATGATGGTGTGGTTTGAACGTGGATGTTTATAAGGTTCCGGAATTGCTAGACATGCTTCTTTTTTTACCAGAATCAAGAAATATATATAAAGCAGTACACGTTTACTTTAATTTGTTGACTAATCTTACCTTCAAAAGATGCAAATCAAGAAGTGTCGTACATTTAGGTACTGGTGAATTCAAAGGGTGAAATTCTTGGTTATGGTTGTGGTCGCTTGTTATCAGTCGTCGGCTATCCTGGCTTCGGACCTGTGTACTCTGATTCGGATGATGGATTTAAACTTCTCTTCTATGCTTTATGTTCGTGTTTTGACAACGAGCTGAAGGAGCAAAATTCGATCAATTTGCATGTACCAACAATAAAGTCGAATACAGTAAAACAAATCCTTCACGATGCTGCTAATTTTAAATTGGTGGACTTTTTAGTCCATATGCGTAGATTAACAAGTTGAATTTTAATCCTCTTCTATAACATAGAATTTTAAAAACTTTACATGGAATTTAACAAAAACATGGAATTCAAAAAAAAAGTTTTTCGGAAAAAATTTCAATAAATTAATCTAGTTGTAGACTTAATAATTAATTTATAATTTCACTTTTTGAATCTACATCACAACAATTTTTCTCATTTCAGAAGGAACAGCTTACTCCTCAATTTACTCAAGAAATACCAGGCCATGATATCGACAAGATTTACTGTGTTACCGATGCAACGATGTTTATTTAATGTTTTTACATCTCTTTTCTCTGAACTTTGTCGGCAGTATTAACTTCATAGAATGTGCTTTCTACTGATTTATATTCTTCAACGCGAAAACTTATATTTTCCTCCTCTTATATATATGGTCGTATATTTTTGTATTTACTTCGCTACCATATTTTTCTTTGCTTTTATAATTTCAACAATTATTGCATATTATACATTTATTGCACAATAAAGTCACATCAAGTTTTGCTTTACTTCCGGAATTTGATAACTATTTCCGATCAATACTATCATCATAAAAAATATATTTAAAACAATATTGTGTACAACAAACCTATATTAGCATAGTTGGCTCTAGTTAACAGAAACAAAAGTGTGATTCACTTCAATTCCATATCACATCACAATCTACATTATGACATTTTATCATCTGGTATGAATTGAAATTGGAAAGACCATCTTACAATGTAAGACGATAGCAGTATCAAAACAACCGATAACCCCACAATGTCATCCCATGAAGTATGACTGAGTAATCTCAATTTCATAGTCATCGTATTATTATTTCGATCGCAAATATTAAGTCTTGTCAAAGACAAAATTCAACCTCGCAGCGGGCAGGATTCGAACCTACGCGGGCAAAGCCCATTTGATTTCTAGTCAAACTCCTTAACCACTCGGACACCGCTGCACACCGGTATATGCCCGCTTCCATTTTTGAATTCCCTTAAGTTAGTCTTGAAACTATGACTCATTGCTGCTGTCAAGTTCAAATCTTGTTTTTTGCTTATTTAAATATTTGGTTAGTCATTGATTACGTATACGTCATAATCACGTAAATATCATAAGATCCTACGTGACACTGCAAAAGATATTTTGTAAGAACGGTCGGTTATAGAAGTGGTAGTCCAAAGCGAACGAAGAGGTCACTCTGATGGATACACTATAAGAAGAAAGGATGGACAAAAATGTACAGAGCATAGTGAATGAAGAGGTTTAGAAAGGATATTGTATACTATCACTGTATGATTTCATTTATGAAAAGTGTAACTTTACACTACAAAGTTTTCAATTTTTTCTTAACCAATGACCATTTAAGCCTATTTGTTTGTAACAAATAAGATTCAATGATAAATTCTGTTAATTTGAAAATAAACTTCAATCAAATTTTTTAAACATTGATGAGAATAGTCTCGCATGTTTTCTACTCATTACATCATCGCTTTCGTGGATTAGAAACCGTTGCTTTATAAGGATTAACAATAATTTCAGGTTCGCATTCGAATTGCCAGGATTATATGATAGCTAGATGAAAGGGCATAGTATTTTGAATATTAACTGATCGAATCATCATTATTCGATACATTTTGCAAGGAAATATTGAAAATGAGAATAAATAATTTGGGTAATTACGACGATCAAAAGCCATTCCCGACATCGATCAATAAGCATCCTGATTACTACCATGATCAGGTACCAACCACATCACGGATGCATCATTTGGTACATCTGGTACGAAAGAAATCAGCAATTTTATCACTGCCCAAAATTATCCGCCGTCGTGAGGTAAGAATGTTGATAAATTCCTGGCTTCTTTTGACCGATTTATTTGATATTTCTTTTTGCTGTGGTATACGTTACCAGATATTGACGATGACTTTTTTTTCTAGCCCTTATTCGGCCAGAAAATATCCAACAGAAACTATAATTTGAAAGAGAAAATTAAAAGTTATGTAAATTATCTGGTCCACCAGTAGCTTATTTGTCATTATTGATGAGAGATGATACTTTCAATGTCATCCGTTCGTGAAATAAAAATATTTTTGATTGGTAGGACAATCTGATGACCATGGTTTATTTTAATTCATAGTTTAGTATTAGACTTTTTTCTTTAATTACTAATGTTTTCACTACGGATAAACATTGCTATTAAACTGGTAGTGTTGTAAAATAATATAGCAAGAGAAAAATGCGGTCATTCAGATCTATAAAGGTGGCTTGAATTTTCAGTTAATTTGAAAATTCTGTACAATTTCAGACATTGTTATTGTGATATATGTATTTCAGTTGCATGGAGAAGCAAGACAGCTCAATCGGATTACTTGTCGAGTACGGCTAGATCAGTTAGAATGTCCATATCTAGTCGAAATTTCAGGCGTGAAACGTTTACTGGATATTATCCGAGAGTAAGCTGCTTCACCATCCTTTCCTTATTCTTTTTGAGATTTTTTTTTTAATTCGCATTTTACCTTAAATTTCAAGGGAGACATTGAATTATTTGCATGTTATTTAATTCTTAAAACAAATTTCATTTGTAATATACTATGGTGATTATTTTTAACATTGTGAAGTAAATGTTCTAAATAGTGCAACGATCTTTTTGTTCATAGTTTAGATTACTTTCTCTAGTTCTGTACTAGAGTTTAGGACGACACCGTAAATTTAGATTGCTTAAAATGAAAATATTCCAATGTATTTTAAAAGTTTTAAGTTTAAAAATTCATGATGAAATTGAGGGCTGGTGCAGATTGTTACGCAGTTTCAGTAGGACAGTTTTTAATGTGTTCTTTACCATCAGTTAATGAACCTAGATTTCAGGTGCATTTTCATAGGTCTTTCAAATGATTCTCGCTATGCAGTTGGGCTACTCTACTCATTGCCTAACTCCCATCGTTCAGGTAGATTATTTTTGTTCTTTTAAGATTGTAAGCTCATTTTGGTTATACAAACGTAAAATATGGGGAACTATTCTGGTTGATAACTATGGCATTAAATATGCTTCCGTTAAAGTATGATGTTTCAGTGGGACATGACGAAGACGAAACAGAGCTCAACGTTATTGTATTTGAATTATCAGCAACATTGCTTAGACCTGTAAAAATTTTTCTTTTTCGTTAAATTTTGATAAATTTATATGATTTTGGAAGTTGCGGGATAAATAAGTTTCTCATTGTCGATATATGTGCATTTGAAATAATTACTTTAAATTTTTGCAGGCTTTTATAACAATTTTCACAGCCTGGCCGGGTAGTGCGAAAGTTTATGCAACATTCCCATGCAGCTCTTCGCATATCTCAATCGTCGGTTTTACGTTAGTTTTTTTTTCTGTTTTTCAAAAGCAGCTCTCTAGCATCAATATCATGTTTGTGCATATTTCGAGGCAGGAAAGGTGATTTCACTTTCGAACATACATGTATTTCCAGAAAATTGAATAATTTTTAATTTACCAATAGTTTTGAAAGGATCAATCAGGAGATTTATCATTTCAAAACTGCTGATGAATTAAAAACTATCTGTTAAAAGTTGAAACCGCATATTAAGTTCAAGTGTTCGATATCCCAGTTCATCTTCTTAGTGTTTCAGAAAATTAATGTGGAAGACGAATTGGAAGTTTTGTCTTGAAGATTTCAGGAAGCAAAATACTGAACCAAGGAATACAACTATATCACGACGAGACTTGGAACCTTTCTCGGTTATTGCTAAAGTTAGATTCATACTATTTCGTTTCCATATCACTATTTCCCTGACTACGTGCCTTGTGATGTCTTATCGTTGGAATGGCTTGAAGTTATCGAGGTATTCTTCAATTCTCTTTTATATTTGTCCATAAAGTAGTTTTCTTTGATATTATTTTTATTCTGATTATCTCTTGTTACCCCGTAGCAAGAGGGGTTGAAACTAATGTGATTAACATAATGAAATAATACATCCACTTGTTTTATTTATTTATTTGTTCAATTCTGACTCGTTTTTGTGCATTAAAAGATGGCATCATGTAACTCTGTCGTAGTACTATTTCTTTTTATTCTCTTTAATCGGTAACTCACAGACATCATTCTCAAAAGGTAAGTGAAATTTGGTAAATCATTTCGAAATGGCCGGTTTACAAACATTTTCACCTTGCAGTGGGTAATTTTCTTTGTCGTAACATTCCATTTTTTATTCACAGAGCAGTTCTGCGTTCAACGGATCACGGTGGTATACTGAATGGAGGAACTGCTTTGATTTCTTATTTGTTTACGAAGAATTGTCCCCCTTTGAAAGCAGTTCGTATGTCTCGTATGGTATGTCCTAAAATTGTAGCTTTTCAAACTAAATTTTTAAAAAAAAAGAAGTGCAAAGTTGCGTTCAATCTTTCAGCACTCTTGACTACGTTCAAGTCAGCATGTTGCTTCGTAGACTATGATTACAATGATGCAATTAAAGTGCTGAGTAATCTGAACTATGTCCTTACTCTATATTAATGTAGTATAGTAGGTGGTTCAAAACGCTGGGAAATTTTCTCTCATCTATAAAAACAGACAAAAATCAATACGAAAAGAAAAAAAACTGGGACTTCCATAAATTTTTCGAGTCAAATCTGAAAATTTGTGTGGTACTTTGAAATTTCATGAGGACTTTGAAATTGTTGAGTTTCTTGTTTGTTACAGATAATGCAAGTGATTGATCCAGAAATAGTGGACGGTGGTGAAGCACAAATATTTGAGGGATGTAACTCGCAAGATATCAGAGCGGAGGATGCAACCTTACATTATGGAAACATTCCTCGAGAATACCATTTAAAGCGAGTCACTGTTGAAGGTTTATTTATTTTTACTTTTTTCTTGTGCAGCAAAGCAGTTTGCTAATTATGCCATGGGGTTTATACGGGGACTTTCGAGCGCCTTCGCGGTGGAAATTTTGTGGTAGATTGTCTTCAGAGATCATCGCAGTAGTTTTTAAACTTAATAAGTTTTTCTGGTTTTCATTATTTTTTATGAATAAGGCTAAAATTTTTGCACTTAAACTTTAGACAATGATCCCTCACCAGCAGGCCTAAGTGAGCCACTTTTTGTCACTGAAACTGTAATGGACATTGAACGTTTACTATATGAAATCATGCCTGTAGTTGTCTCCCGTATGTATGGAAACTACAAATATGAAGGTTTAATCGATTATGAGGTATTTTCATCCCATTTTTCCTTTCACCAAAACGGAATTTTTATTCAAATGATTTTTACTTGGAATTACTTCCAAGTTAAATACGTCAGTAGTTAGTTACTACGTCTAATGTGCAATAATCTTGGAAATTGTTTATGATTTTACCGATCTTCGATATATGTTTATAGATATCTCTTGAGATATCTATAAACATATATCGAAGATCGGTAAAATCTGTTGAGATATCTATAAAATCTCTTGAGATATCTATAAACATAGATATCTATATCTCTTGAGATATCTATAAACATAGATATCTATAAAAATATCATCGTTCAACGTTTTAGTTAAGTTTTTTGAACATACGTTGTACCTTACATTGACATTGCTTGTGCTAACATTCGCATCCTGTGTGAAATATTGAAGCTAGCTTTAGCGGCAAAAGTAATATCTACGCCGTCATCGGTAGTTTTAATTTTGAGTTACATAGTTTTGAAGTACTGAAATTCTTGTCTTGCATTTCAATGTTCTGCGCATCATTTTACAGTTACAAAACTGGGCAAAGGGCTCTGAAAGGATATCATTGAATAGTGCAGTTCATAGAATTAAATTGTTATCTCATCTGGTTGTCTGAATCAACTTCTAAAATTCTTCCCTGTTTCAGGTAGATCTGATCGATTGTGAACAATATGTAGCTAATATTGTATTAACTTCAGTTATCGAAGCCAAAGGACCTGGTGAAACGGGCAGAAATTTAGCATATATAGTAGTACTTTATATTGTATGGAATACTTTCGAAGGTTTCACACATTTCCTGATTTCCCATTTTAGTTTTGTATCTTTGTTCAGCGGAACTGTTATGATGTTTTGCGTAGAATTAATCTATATTTGATCTTTTGAAAAGCTTAGCTGGTTTTAGTTTCTATTGTATTGTCCCACTGCTCGAGAAAAAAAACTTTTAATTTGTGATTTCTCGAAGAAGGATTCTCGTATTTTTTTCATCTCTGCTGAAGTAATTATATTTTAATTAAAAAGCAAGACAGTAAAAGTTATTTTAATGAAGTTTAGAAAATACCACTTTCGAATTTAATTGAAAAGAGAAGTTTTCCAGGTACGCGTCAGATATCTTCCTTCAGAGGTATGCGTTTCGTTCCCTGGGCGATAGCTCATCGTCCAGATCAGTGGTATCCATTTAAAACCGTTTTGAAAAAGGAATTTACGCCGGATGAACGGGTTATATCAAATATTCCATTTCTGAACGGTTCCTTTTTTCTGTATGGTATAAAAAATTGAGGGTTGCTTACAATACTTCCCATTTTTTTCTTCCTGCTGCTTAATATTTTCCTCCTGGAAAGAGTTAATTGAAGGAACAGATTGATCACAATGATTTCCACGGTTTATCAACCTTTCGTAATCTAAACTTTACTCAAGAACGGATTAGGTTGAAAATCAAGTTAGTTTTTATGTGCTCTCTTCAGTTATTTTCGAAAACCACGAATAAAATCAAGCACGTTTTTAGGTGAAAGTTTGGAATTTTTGGCATCAACTTCACCAGGAATTACGATTTGGAAAGAATTTGCTTCCCGATCCAAAACTACTTAATCCAAACGATTCCAGGAGTTTTGTTCCATTGCTCTGCCCTTTCGATTGTTTTTCTGTCCACAGATTTTTTTCCGTTGATGTTATGGCTTTTATCCTCTTTACCGTTATAAATGGTCATGTTGTTTTCCTTAACATTAAATTAGAAAACATTTCACTTGTTATGCTGTTCGGTGTCACTTTTTTATGCTTTTTATTTCCATATTGTACTGTGTCTTCATTGGGATGAAAGTTGTTCATGTGGTTTTAATTGTGTAAAATGGATTTTTGCATATTTGCCGACCCACATGTTGTATTGTACTTTTGTGTGTTACAACACGGACCTATCAAAGCTCCTGTCTTATTTTGCATGAAAATCCTTGTTATGAATATTCTAGGTAATGTTTCCTCTTATGAATACGGAGTTTCTAGTTTAAACATTCTGTAACTTCTTTAAATAACAGTAAACATATTACCCTTGTACATTCCTCCGTGTACTTTTGACTGCTGCGCTTATTTGGTAATTGGTGGTGGTGAACATAATGCAGGAATTTTTGACACAGATTTGACAGAGAGTACTGGTAGCAATTCAATTCCAACTTAATCAGTGTTACCGAACTAACTGTGAAGGAACAGTTTGTATGTGCATAACTTGTCGTGGTAGATTTTAATATGAATATATTTCTCGAAAACGGCCGATATACAAATATGGTTTTAAAAGATACAGGATCATCAAGCGATATTTTGGTAGTATTAGATTTCAGAGTGTGGCATAAGTGGGTATTAGAATTTAACCGTCCCTACCCACATGTAACTTTTATTTGATGAACAATATCATTGTAACAGGTATGTCACATCTATGTTTACACCATTATTAAAATTTTAGCGACAGGAAACTGCACTATTAGTGCTTTTTTCCCTCGCATTACTATTATTATTACTATTACTATTACTATTACTATCACTATTATATTACTACTACTATTACTATTACTATTACTATTGTAATTATTATTATTATTATTATTATTATTACTTATTATTATTATTATTACTATTATTATTATTATTATTATTATTATTATTATTATTATTATTATTATTATTATTATTGTTATTATTATTATTATTATTATTATTATTATTATTATTATTATTGTTGTTATTATTATTA